TTGAGAGAGCTAATTACTTGTGTTCTGCTAAGTGTAACCATTTCATTAAACACAAAATGGTTTTTACTATTAGGAAAATAAGATTGAGAAACCATATGAGGCCAGGTTGGATGAGGCTTTGAGGAAAATGGCCTGGTGGAAGGCGTCACTGTCCATGGCAGCGGGGCTGGACCTGGGTGATTGTTAGGGTCCCTTTTGACCCAAACCATTCTATGGTATCTTGGTACTACAGAGGAGGTGCTTCTTCTGTGGGAGATACTGAAGTAGTACACCAGTGTCAATGTAAAACTCCATTTGAAGGAGTGTCAACCATGGTATTAAGATTCCAATGTAGTTTCGTGATTTCATTTTTCACGTAGGTGTGTGGTAAATATTTAAATCACTTTTTAGTCACAGCTGGTTTATGCAGGTGGTTTTAACAATGGGGTTGGCAGCCTGTATCTGTAGCACACTTGTGCACAGCAGGCAGGAAACTGAGTGGCTTTGGTGTTTCCTATTCTGGCAGTGAGAATTTTAAAATGTGCTGTGGGTCAGATAGGATTATTGATGCGAGACCAGGAGGCTGCTGGCTGCTCACTTAACAGCCTTTCCTGGCTGCCAGAGGAGGGGCAGCTAGCCACCAGGTCCTGTCCAGGGTCAAATACTGTTGTTACTCCTCAGATGGGGCACACTGGAGGCATAGTTTCTCTGTAGTCTTCCTTCTCCGAGCAGAGGCAGAATAAGTGATCTTCTGTGTTGTGACTTTTGTCTTGTACCCCTGCCAATATTTTTATCTTGCCTGTTCCTGAAATTTTAGACAGAAATTTAATATAGTTCTTTATTTTCCTTGGGTTTATGCACTGTTAAGTAAGTGGTTTACATGTGAATTGATCCCCATGATTCTGGGGAACGCCAAGCATTTTTTGCACTCTTGGAGATAGAAGGTTTCACTTCAAGTATGATAGAAAGGGTTTATTGCCATAAAAGAAAACGTGCTGTTGGGCACAAAAACTGTGGACTGGTATATTTCTCAGTTGCAGTGCTGGTGATGGAAATGAAAACTGAGAAATAGGTCAGATAAATTTAAAAATATCCATTTGCTATTCTGGGAAACTTTAAAATTTTCCATAGATCTTAAAAGGAAAAAAAAACCCAACCTGAAACTGTGTAACATCTGTTGAGATGTGGTTCTTTTGAACAAGTATAAAATGAAGCCAGCAGCAGATCTTCTCCCAGCATCTACCAAGAAAGGAAAAAGGGGTCACACAAGGATTCTTCTCCTGCGGGTTCCTGCAGTCATTGTTTAAATTAAAGGCTGCTTCTAGATTATACAGCCTTAATAGCTATAAACCTAACCCTTTTTTTCCTCCTCCCTCATGGCAGGAGACTGTTAGTTTGTGTAGGCTTTCAGTGGACACATGGATTTCTTGTCAGTTGATGTGCTCTTGCAAAGTAGAAGGGTTAGCCGATCAGTCAGAGTGAAAATTGCTATTTAAGATGTGAAAATGGGGCAACTTAGTGCTTTCATAAAACTTCTGAAACAGTGTTTCTAAAACTCAAGTTAGAAAAAAGTCATTAAATTGCTAATGAATGTCTGTTAAATACAAGGGTCTGCTTTAGTGACTGATTCTGTGTTGGTCCGTAAAGAATACTGGTTTGTGCTGGGAAAAAAAAAAATAAACTCTGATATTGGATTTTTATAAAGCAAAGGAGAAGCATGTACTTTAAACTAGAAGAATTAGCCTATACTTGTTCGACTCAACATTGTGATTTGAATAGAAGTACATGTTAGTTTCATGCTGAGTGACATGCTTTCCAGCCATGATTGAACCTCATAAAGCTATGATATCCTCCATATAGGACTTAGAGCTATGATATCCTCCATATAGGACTTAGGATGTGCCCTTCTTTTGTAATGGATTGATGTCCTCTTGACTTTGTGCACTGAGGGCATTAACATCTCAGACTGGTAGCCTGCTTCTTATGTGACCTCCTGACAGTCCCCTGCCCTGCTTGTTGGTTCACTCAAGAGTGGCCTGAGTGCCTTTTGGACAGGCATTAACTGGGAAGCGTGCTCCCAGAGGCTGATGGACAGGCTGGTCAGCCTGCAGGAGAGGCTGCAACTCCTATTGTCTGAACCTGGGTGAAAGGCATCCTGTAAGGGCATCAGGTGCCCAGCAGGAAGTATTTGGTCTACAGCTCTGTTCCTGCCTGTGCTGCCTTGTATGGACATAGCCTAAGAGAACTGCACCTAGGGAATTGGCAGGAAAAAATGCCACCATGTCTGTCTTCTTATGCATGTTTTGCTCATCTTTTGTCATCGGAAATGAATATGAAATGGAAGGGGCTTCTGCACCTCGCCTGTGTGTAGCCATTTCTGGTGTACAGAGAATAATAGTGTATTTAAGCCTAAGCAAGTTCCTATTTGATATCAGCAGCTTCTGGATCAAATCCTGGAAAAATGTGAAAGAAGATACACTCATCTTGCTGTAGCTGTTAAATTCTAGCAGTAATCTTACCTCAAACCACCCTGTTGTCCCAACTTTTTGTCCTTAACCCTAAAATACCATTGCATTGTACCCTCTTGCGTTTCATGCAGAAACATGCAAATATAAAAGTGAAATGAAAGACTGCACATGTTTTTAGAATATCCTCCAGCCAATATGCATAGCGGTCATGCATATAGCACTTCTTTCTTTTATTTAGCCACGTGGCAGTGACATGTGCATTACCCGCTTTGTCCTTCCTGGTAATTGCCTGATTCATTTTACAGCAAGCATTTAAAAACACTGAAAAAGGAGATAGAAACTTTCCCAAGCAGTGTTTAGATCTTAAAAAAAAAACAAAACCCCAAAATCAACCAGCCAAACAACAACAACAAAAAAACAACCCCAAAAAGCCCTCAGTGAAATGTCAGCGTTCTTCTTTGTTTGGTGTAAAGCTGATTACGGCCTCTCAATTTCCTTGTATAATCATATGAACTATCTTAATTTGTGAATTGTAAACTGTTCTGCAGAGTCATGAGACTTTTTCTTGACTGTTGTGCTGGAGCGGAGCAGCTGGGACTTAGAAAGCCAAAAACATTCGTGCAGTAGCTAAATGTAAGGATGACTCAGCTGAAATTTCTGATGATGTTCTGCAGTCAGGGAACTCGGTAAGCATGTGGATTGCCCACAGTACCTCGCAGCTTCTGCCTCGTTGCAAACAATTTACTTGACCCGTATGCAGACACAGTAAAACGTGATCAGGCATTCTTATGCTCTACCAGTGTTAATTTCCTTGAATTGGCTGTGTTCAGAGATTTAAAAAAAAAATATTTCTTTTTTAACTGGCAAATTAAAAATGGCATCAAGTGAAGAATTTTTAGAATGCTGTGGAAATAGAGGAGAAAAGTAATAGCTGTGTGTCCTGTGCATATTGTGTGTTGTTTCTAACAGAAAATGTCCTAGATTCTGACAGAAATTGAGAGGGCAGCAGGGAAAGATGATACATTTGTTAATATGTTTTCAAAAGAAGGTGTTGTTTTTTTTTTTTTCTTCTTTCTTTTTCTTCTTTTCCTTTTCAAACAAGACGTCTTCATATGGAACAGTGAAATTCAAGGGGAAACCTGCTCTGTGCTAAAATAATGACTGGTTACCCTCAAATTGACATTTTTACAAGTTGTATTTTCTGCTCTCTTTAGATCTGTTTTATTGTGACTGTTTAATTGAAACTGTTTAATCAGTGGAAGATGGGGACAAATAAGGATCAAAGTATGGCAGTGGGATCTATTTGCAGCTTTGATAGAATAAAGGGGGCAGACACTAGAGCTCCTTTTGCTTCTATTTCTTCATCTATAAAATGTGGATAATGGCACTTATTTCTATGACTAGCTCAGGCATTTATAGAGGAAAAGGATTACTGACTACCATTATGTGCCAGTAGCGGTACTGGTATTCTGTGTGGTTGTAGGCTGTGCAACTGGCTGAAAAAATGCTTTGCAACTGAAAATGACACTGAGCCTTTGGGCATGACACTGCTACTCTTGGCTGTGTAGCTTTTAAACAGAAGCCTGTCAGCTCTGCTTTGGCTGTCGGTTATTGCAGTCTGTCTGCAGCAGTGATAACTCTCTGTTGCATCATTTTTTTTGAGAACTAGAAATCTACAGCAGTTGAGAGGAAGTGCCCCAACAGCAAAGTCAGTAATTATAATGTAGAATTTCCTGCAGGAGATTTCCCTAGCTCAAACCAATCATAAATATGGTATGAAAGTTCATTTACTCAACAGTCTGTCATTGTAAATAGTCCTTGTACCAGTAATGGAAATTGTGATTGTGTTTTTATTACTGTAAATTTTGGGTTGATGTGTGGTGATTTGTTTTTGAAAATTGTGTTAAGAGAAATAGGAAAACATTGAATTACATTGATTTACATTTTCCTTTTGAGTAAGAAACATGCTGCAAGGGCAAACTTTCTACTTCCTTTTATGCCCTGTAGTTCTGAATTACCAGGAAGTCTCCACTGGGTTTGCTGCAGACAGCCTAGGAGCTATGAGACAATGTTAAAATAGTGAACTGATGTTGCCTTGTGCTGTTCACTTTTACTGTGCGCCAGATAATGTTTCCACACTGAAGTTTGGCAATGTGGTTTATCTGAGTATTTATACATACTTGCACCATGGTTATAATGGGAGGTAACTAGCATTGTCATGTTATTTTTCTGCAATGTTAATATGAAAGTCCTTGATTAATACTGTTAAAGATCCTGATCAGTACTGTTAAAGATCCCAGTATTACATTTATGTGTTATGGTAGCTGTGTATAGACAATGTCATCTTGTAAAGGTTTAAAGCTTCTAAACTATAAAAAGTGCAATAAAATTAGAAACACCACAGAATTAAGCCAGTTTAATACAAGTATAAACAAATATAGAGGAGGGATACAGAATAAGACAGGTAATAGCTATTTTTTATTATTATTTTTTTTTAATACTGAAGTTCTGTGTTTGCTTTTTCTTTAACTTGATTGATTTTTCTCTCCCCAGGATTGGAATCTGACATGGCACACAGAAAATCCAGACTTCACCCAGTGCTTTCAGAACACAGTCCTGATCTGGATTCCTTGTATTTATCTGTGGGTCTGCTTCCCAGTGTACTTCCTATACCTTCGTTATCATGACAGGGGATACATACAAATGTCAAACCTCAACAAAGCCAAAACGGTATGTGACTTCTTAAAAGCAGAATTTATTATGCTTATCTGGAAGTTTAAATCTATTCTCAGCTGTGTTTTAGCACACTATTTTTGTTGCACATTAATCTTGGCCTGTGTGCACGCTTAAGCTGTGACTTACTTGTTCTACTTGTGTTTGATTTTCAAGCCTTATGTGTTTGTTGCCCTTTTATCAATAGGCTTTCTAAAATGTATTGTGGCAGAGCAAAAAAGTGTGCAAATGCTTTGTAAGACCAGATAGAAAAAAAAACAACCCAAACTATTTTAAAGCAACTCAATCTCAAGGCCTTTATTTCAGTAATGAAAAGATTTTGTTATCCTGTCAGCTTCTTAAATCGCACAACATAGATTACTAGAGCTGCTGCAGGTATTCTGTTCCACTTCTGTTGTGAAATAGGTACTTAATCATTTCTTACTCTTTTTTTTGCCTCCTGTAGAATAAGAGAAAAGTTTTAAGGACTGTAATACATGGGGTACTGGAGAGGTTTTGCCTCTGCAATCTGTTATTTAGGAATGAGAGTCACCAGCTTTCTGCTTCATGATACACTGAATTACACGGTACTAAAGATTAGTAAACACTTTTCTTCTAGTGGGGACTCAGTAGGTAAAGCCAGATTACTCTTCTTTTGAGCATGTTGTAGAATTGCCCAAAAGAGATGATCTAATTTTTGACTCTTCTACTAGCACATAACATCTAGTGTTCATGTATATATTGTGCTGCCTAATCTGTGTGAACTGATGTATGAAATACACTTTTTGTATTGCAGGCTTTGGGCTTAATACTGTGGATAGTCTGCTGGGCAGACCTTTTCTACTCTTTCTGGGAAAGAAGTCAAAGTACTTTTCGAGCTCCATTTTTTCTTGTTGGGCCAACACTATTGGGTATAACAATGGTAAGTTCTTCTATTATGGCTTTTGTTCATGCAAAGCCTGAAACAATAACATACATCTTAGTGTTATTCAGTGTTGTAATTCTTTCAACTACAGTCTTTACATAAAGACTTACTCTGCAGCTGAACTGGGAAATACTTACTCTGAGATGTCCACTTTCTTTTAATAAAAAATCTTAGGACACCCTCTTCCCCTTTCCCCAAGCCAGCTGTGCTCAGTGTGTTGCGTGTTAGCACACAAGCCAGTGCTAGTTGTCTTGCCGTATTTTGGCAGGCTTGAGCTACTGTTCATTTAATACCTTGACTCAAGCACGGGCTTGAGAAATCAAGGTGGGAGAACTGATTAAACCTAGATAATACAAATCACACTGAACTTAGTAAAAGACTGTCAAAGGCATTGCATTGTTAAGTATCTTACTACAAACTCTTGCATATAACATTCGTAAGTGCATGTTTTCATTTGATGGCATGGTGGAAAGCCTTAAATGCCAGGGGGCACATAGGTATCCTTATCTAACTCTTTTCTACCTAGATGCACAAGTATTGTCTATTTTCCCACCGGTAGTCTCCATTTCAAGGAAAATGCAAAAATGCCTTGCTGTTGATTTCTTGTCAGTTGCCTTATATTTATCACAGTCTTGAAAGGGTAGTGATTAAACATGATACTGAAGGGGGGGACAGGACAGGACAGAACACAACCCCAACAGCAGCAGCAACAATAACAATAAAAGCCAAAGAAAAAAAAACAGTTGCCCTTAAGCATGCTGACAGATGCAAGAACTGTGAAATGATTTGTGGTCATTTAATAGTGCAATTGCCAAGCCGTTGTTGGGGTGATTGAAAATGCATGTTGCAGCAGCCAAGTGAGATTACTAAATTGTACCAGCTTCCTAAATGACTCTGAAAACACACAAAATACAGAAATAGAGTAATATTTGATCAGTGTTGTTTGGTGTTGTGACTTGTATGGAAAGAAACATTTTTATTTTAAAAAGAACTAGTCTTGGAAAGGATATAGTGTTGCTATAATTGCATGTTGACTTGTGATGTAGAACCGGAAATTAAAGTAGTAAAGCCTGGCAGCTTTTGACAGTGCAAAACACATTTTGTGTGTAATACATATTTCTTTTCACTTTTTTGTCCACTTTTTATTTTTACTGCTCTAGAGCATTTAATGCTTAAAGGTATTTTTGAATTACACTTAAAATCTCTGGGTGTTCCTGGGAGCTACTGGATTTGGGATATTAAATAAGCACACTTTGACACAGTACCTTGTATATGTGTATAATGTTGTAAAACTTAGTGTGTAAATATATTTTTATCTTACTTGTCCACAGTTGCTTGCCACATTTTTGATACAGTATGAGAGACTAAAAGGAGTCCAGTCTTCAGGTGTCATGATGATTTTCTGGCTCATCTCATTGACATGTGCCGCAGTGGTTTTTAGATCCAAAATAAAACATGCCTTAAATATGGTAAGTGATTGCTAGCCTCATTCCTTGAAAATAATCCTAAGTACTGCAGTGATAGAGTAATTGCTTTTCTAATTGTGCCAGTCAAGTCAGTGAACGATTCATTCAGTGTACCTTTGTTCCTTAAAGAATAAAAGCAAAATAAGAAAGTCATAATGGCTCTTGCTTAGAGGTGCTAGTGAAATCCATAGTGACCTTAAGTGCAGCAACAGTTGCCAAGAAAATTCTCCTAGCTGTTCCAGAAAGGGGATGTGCCTGCTTGAGTACAATGAAAATGTATTATCTTTGATATGAAAACTGTTTGGGGAGTTTACTTGGTCTTCCTGTTGATTGTACGGTGGATTTAGAAAAACACGTGGTTTGATGGTTCTGTGGTCTCATCTGCTGAGGCAAAATGAAAGTGTACAAGTGAAACATTTTTATGTCAGTCTGTTTTATAGTAAGGCCACCTCAAATATCAGGTTAATTGTGGAGCTGCCTGAAAATGGCATCACTTTGATTTCTTTAAGCTGTAGTGTGAATTTTGAGAACTTTCAGCCAACTTTTGTCTTTAGCTGTTGGGAGTGGGATTTTACTGGTGAGTGTGGGAGTGTGTGTCCGTCTGTCCTGTGCTTTGACTTTGGAGGTTTATGCTTTATGTATCAGTCCTGATCTAAGAAATGGAAGCAGCTCTGGAATTTGAATGGAGCACAACAAATTGTAATCTAAATTCTGCTCCTTTAATTTTTATGTGCATAGTAATTAATAAATTTGCCTTAAAAACTTCTTGCCACCCAGTGCATAACTGCCTTACTCCTGTAAAGAATACATTGACTTCAAATTGGGGCATGCTGTGTTAGTACAAACAGTGTCTTAAAGAGAATTTCTCTACAGAAGAAGTTCATATTTTGTGTGTTTATTTCAGTGGTTGTTTAAAAATAAATGATATTTTTCATCTCCTCCACCCGTTCTTTACCTTCCCTTAACCAAAATAGGCACCAACTGTAATTTCCATGGGGTTGGATAGTGTAATATTTGTAGACTTTACAACTGGTTTATGTTAAATAGTAATATATTGTTTTAAAAAAATTCCTCAATCCTGCTAATTGGAATATCGCTTTCCTTTGTAGGGTGCTGAAGTGGATTCATTTCGTTATGCCACCTTCTGCATCTACTTTATCTTGTTACTTGTACAGCTCATCCTGTGTTGTTTTCCGGAACGACCGCCTTTGTTTTCTGAAACAGTAAATGATCCTGTAAGTGTTCAGTCTATACTATCCTATGTGCAATATTCTGTACAATGAGTTACAGAGCCATAATTTCCCAGATGCCAAGTAATTAAAATCTGATTGACTTGTTTGCAGTAGAGTGTTATTTCTGCTCTTTCATTGGTGATGCAGAAGATGAATCCCATAACATGCAAAACAAGGTGGACTGTATTTAAGAGAAAGAGGAAAATATACCGTTTCAGTCATTTCTGAATAGCATTCCTGGAGATTAAGACATATGTATTTTATTCAGTAGTGCTTTTGGAAATCAGTGGGAAATACTGATTTTAAATGCTGTCCTTCTAGTCAGCCAATACTATTCAGTAGGCAATAACTCATAAGGATGTGCATTCCCTTTCTATTGAAGGTGGGGAAGAATCTACACCTGGAAAACTTAAGAACCTCGGTAGATGCATTAGATTTCCATATTTACCTTTCTTGTGTCAAGCAGAAATGTTACCAGCTCGATTGCAAAAGCAGCTAGCATTAGAGGGTGGTCTGCAGGTAGGAATTTAATTTTGTCTAGGTGTATACGTTCTTAATTGTGTTAGCTATATGGCATGGATCTAAAGGGGCCCAAGAGATGCAGGGTCCTTACAGTGCTTGCTTATCCCCAGGCTAGACCTCCTGAGTCACAGTGGGGTGACACCTGTTGGTTCCAGGAGTTTGGATGTGTCAGTATCAAGTTTAGAAACCTCAGTTCTTGTGTTTGGTGGCTTTATTTAGTTAGTTATTAAAAATAAGGTGTAATTCTGGTTTGATGGCTGTTAGGCATCTGTTAAGCACTGACTTATAAAGAGAGGTGTGAAATGTGTGAATGTGTGAAGGGGGAAGTAAGTGTTGCCTTTAACTGTGGAAAAGGTCCGTAACCAGTTGCACTTACCGAATTAGTTACCTCTCTGTTGGTATCCAGTGTTCCAGTGGTGCTCTGCATTACCACTGGCAGTTCATCTATGTGTATATACCTGTAGGAAAGAGTATACTGCTCAGTCTCTGGATCCTCTTCATCTTTGGGTTCATTTCATCTCGTGCAGATATGAAATGTATATGGCAGGATGCTGTGGATATATGGAAATGTATTTATGGATATATGAATATACATGGATATAGTTCTGCTTTGATCATAGTTAAAATAATTACAGGGTGCTTTGATACAACAGTGGTTTAGTTTTGTGTTCTGAGTATTTCTAGGACTGTCTGTAGGAAATAGGGCACACTTAAATTTTCAACCTTCTTTTCATGAGTGGTGTATTTGTTGAACCTTACCATGGGGAAAAGAACAAAGCAGGTCATATTAGTTAGTCTAAAATTCTGCTTTATTCCCTTCTGCCAAGCACTTCCCAACCAGAAATTTTGAGTAAAATCTTATTATATGTTTACTTAAGCAAAAAAACTACAGTGAAATTTCTAAGACGTAGGTGCTGATGTATAAAGTCAGTGTGTTTTGTCTCGTTTTCTCTTTGTTTGCATTGCTGAAGGGCAGACTTGTTACAACTTGTCTTCATTCTATCTGCATGAATGTCAGTAGGATTAACAGGGCTTTGTGTAACAACTCATTTTATCAAAACCAGTACTGTTTTAACAGTAATCCAGTATGTTTTAGTGTTTTAAACTTTTGCTTTATGCAGATGCAGTCCAGTTTTTGGTGGTATAAGATCTAGTGGATCTTTGAATTTAAGAGTTTCCACCTGCAATTAGATTGAAAAAAAAGAAAGTATAAAGGAAAAAGCATTTTATATAAAATTCAGAATATTTTGTAATATTGTTGAAGTTAAAAGTATTCCCTGTATTTGCTGAAATAGTAGTATGTCTGTCAGGAATGCTGGCAGGGCTGAAGGCTGAAATTGCCGAGCTCACTTCCCCCCTTTTTTTTAATGTCTCTGTCCCTTATTTATTAAGGGATCGTGTATGATTTGCTTGCAATCATTTTGTTGCAAGTGTTTAAATACTTTGGAAATGTGGAACTCTTATCCCCGATCACAAAAAGCGTCCATCTCATACATATTCTCATTGTTCCTTGCGAAGTTGCACAGAACCTTGTGTGCAGAAAAGGAAATGCAGGAGCCTGTTTCTTGTAGCTTGTTTACAACACACTTTAATTATAGCTTAGTGGAGAAGGCAGGTTACACAAACATGAGCTGAAAAATGCAAATCTTGGCACTCTTAGCTCTGTCTTTTTTAATTGCAGTACTTTAATGATGTTTGGTGACTTCTGTAGATGGAAATAAATACCTGAGCTGCTCCAATTATAGTTGATAAAAACCTAGTGGTTTGTGCGCTGAAGGAGTGGCTAGTTTTAGCATTCTTTATGTGCTGTTGAGAGCAGTGAAAGAGGGAAGAGAGAAATCTGCACTGGAATTCTGCAAATGAATCACCTTCAGTGCCTTTGAAATTCCTCCAGCCTTCCTCTCTGCTGTTTTAATCCAGTCAGGTTAGGGGAGGATGTTGACCTGAAGAACAGTTAAAACAGCAATTGGGCTAGATGTAGAACATGAGCTAGCTGTGTACCTTTATGGCTACTGAAGTTTCTTGTGCTTATTGATGAATGAAATGCAAGGGTTTAGGGGCTGTTTTGGGTTGCTGTTACTGAGTTTATGATTTTTTTTCTTTCATTTGTACATCTGTCCTGATGTAGTCACAGCACTTAACTGCGAGAACAGTACAACTGAACTATTAGTTTGTGACTCACTGCCCAATTAACATTTACGCTGTTGTATGGTAGTGCACCTTGCATTGTTACTGGTAGGCACTGGTCATGACGTCTTGAGAGGTTGTCTGGCCTGTACATGACGTCTTGAGAGGTTGTCTGGCCTGTACTTTCTTAAAAAATTCCCTCAACTACTTGTTGCGTTGTTGATACGGGATGCTGCTCTTCCTGTGCCCCAGTGGCCAACTCTGCTTACAGCCTTGAAGCTGTGCTTGTGTTTCCTGAGCAAGCTGTCACTGGCATAAATGACAAGATTAGTGATGTGAAAGTAAATACTATAAACAAAAGGAATTTCAAAACCATATTTTCTGTTAGGTTTGTTTCTTTTGGCACTGGATCACTCACTTTGTGTGTGGATTGATTTCTTTTTTTCTCCTTCAGAATCCATGTCCAGAGTTCAGTGCTTCTTTCCTCTCCAGAATCACTTTCTGGTGGATCACTGGGTAAGATCAAGATGATGCATAAAGCACCAGTTAAAGTTAGATGCCTTTGTAGGATCATGCTTTCAGAATCAAATTAGGAGTAATCATGCAATAATAATTTTGGTTGTTTTGTAGATATATTTTTTTTTAATTTTATTATTTTTTTTACTTCCTTTGTGGAGTCTTTGTAATTTAAGTTTTGCCAGTATATACTTAGAATGTTTGCTGAAAAAATATAATGAAAATTCTTTGGGAACTGTAGGAAGATAGAAGTTATCTGCTCTATTTAGAAACTAGGGCATTCAAAACTGTTAGCTCCAATAGGTGTGGGTTCTGTTTATTTTTCATTAGCTTAGTTTAGGTTATGCTGTATAATTTGATCACAACACATGCTCTTGTGAGTTAAAACACAGAAACATGTAAAATAATAGTGGTGTATATTTGTGGTTGGTACTTGGCCAGAGTTCTAACAGAAAGCTAGATGAAAGGCATTGCTTTGTAAAATTAAAGGCTAATAAAGATTTTGAAACTTTGTAGGCATGGGAATATTAATTGCCTGGCTGATTTTCAAATGAGATCACTGCATGCTTTCTTTTATTTTCCCTGAAATTTGAATCCAGTGGCATATCCTGGATCCTTAGATGTTTTAGTATCTTGATTCTCACAGTAAAGATGGTAGGTTGTATGTTTTAGCATCTGGACCTGTATTGCTACAGGTGCTCTTGCATACATTTTTGTAAGTACTGTTTCTGTTTTGGGGCTAGATGTAAGGGCCACTGTCTTATGGCATATATATATGCCATAAGACATATACACACACACAAACACATAGACACATGTATCTAGTGTTCTTAAATATATAATGCTGATTCTTTCTAACACAGGTTGATGGTTCAGGGTTATCGGAGACCTTTGGAAGCCAAGGATTTGTGGTCATTAAACAAAGAGGACAAGTCAGAGGAGATTGTGCCAGGTTTGGCTAGAAACTGGGCAAAAGAGTGGGCAAAGACCAAGAGGTAAGTTCAGTTATCCTGGCTGGTGTATCTTTCAAGATGTGGAGGTTCAAAAGCTTAAGTTACTCAGCCTCTGCTTAGAGCTGTTTTGTCATCCATTATCAAGCCTGTTTTTGTAAGGCCCAAGTGGCAGCTCTGTATTTGTCCTTAAGTGCATACTGAACAGGAATTAAGTAGGGTGTTGTGTGTCTTCTTTATGAAAAGCTGCATCGAGTTTCCCTTAGTCTTCTGTGATCTAAAGCTGATTATTGTTTCTCCTGATGTGTGGGTGGTTTTTTTTTTTCCCTAGGGAGGGAATGTTTTTGCACAAACTTCAGTCATAATTTAGGAGCTTGGGCTCCCTCTATAGTTAGTGAAGCCACAGGAGGGCAATTCAGCATATAAAAGTGAGCTGCTTATTTCTTTCCTTTGACTATATAGGGAGCCTGGGCATCTAAGCCAGATGACTAAAATTAGAAAGACTGCATGCCTGCAGTTTCCATTCTACTTTCATCACCCTTTACTGTAGGAAATAGAAGTACCTTTTCATTGAAGGAAATTTGCGTGCTTGCTTACACAGTGTCATTTTTACATACCGCTTGTCCTCAGAAGTTTGTAAGTATGTAGTCTGGCATAAGCCAGATGTGTGTAATTAATGTGTTCAGTCCATTGGGGATGACTTGGAATAAATCTGACTGCAATTTTTTAACTCTGGTGTACAGCGAGGCCTTGATTTTGAAGAAAGTTTAGCATACTGGGTTCTGGAATAGATAATGGCCTATGCTCTTTAACATGTTACAGCTGTTATTCCCTCTGGCAGACCTATAGAAAAGATTCAGCAGGAATCTTATTTATCCGTACAAAGACGACTTATTTGTGAATAGCCAGTTCATTTAGCTATGGTTGTATGATTAAAAAGGTGTTTGATTGGTAGTAAACCCCAGTTAAACTGTTAAGAAGAGGAGTAAACAGTTTATAAAAAGCTCATTTGTATACTGTGCGTTTTCCCAGTTGGCTTTATGCTTGAATAAAGGCTACATTATATACCTCCTCTTATTTCAGGCAACCATTAAACATGGTATACTCACCCAAAAAGCAACAAAAACCAAGCGACTCAAATGGTGACGTGACAGAAGAGGCCGAGGCTTTGATCATAAAACCATCTCAGAAGAGCTCTGAAGCATCTTTATTCAAGGTGTTATATAAGACCTTTGGACCATATTTTCTCATGAGCTTCCTGTTTAAAGCTGCACATGATCTCTTGATGTTTGCAGGCCCAGAAATTCTGAAGTAAGACATATATACTTTATTATTGTATTAAAAGTATGTGAACAGAATTTCAAATACACTGGTATTTGACTCACCAAGCTGCTTTGCCTCCAGCTGGTTCAGTGGGGAAGAGTTTCATGCAAGTTAGAGACCAGGCATGTGAGCCATTTTGGTCCACTGATTTTCAGTTTATAACATGATGTATGAAACATTTGACTTTTTATGTTCCTTTCCAGCACTAGGAAGGCCAGGCAGGAACTTAGTCAACAACAGCAAGAGAGTTTATTTAATTCTAACCTGTAATGATTGTGGGATTACAAGTTGCAATGCGTGAAGCAACAGGGAGCTAAGGGGGTAGGAGGAGTTGTACTGCTTGAAGGTGAGAGATGTAGAACAACTGTAAGCAGTTGTAAGTAAGCTGTAAGTATTTTTAATGGAGGGAATTTGTGACTTTTTAGTGTAGCTCCAAGAGAATGCGGCACATGTAAGGTATGTGATACTTTGGTTTGAAGTAGTACGTCGTTAGGAGAAGAGTGATGTGTGCTAGTATAAAATGTTTCTAAGAAGTTTGCTGAAGTGTTTTATCTAAGGTTTGGTATTTTGGGTGCTTGCATGGCACATGTAATATTTGGCATAATCTGAGGTTGTAACCCTGACTTTTCATTTTCATGCATTAAGAGAACTAATTCCTCTCTCCACAGATTGCTGATCCACTTTGTAAACAACAAGACAGCCCCAAACTGGCAAGGCTACTTTTACACAGGGCTGCTGTTTGTTTGTGCCTGTCTTCAGACACTGATTCTTCACCAGTATTTTCATATTTGCTTTGTAACTGGAATGAGGCTCAAAACAGCTATTGTTGGTGTAATTTATCGAAAGGTAGGTGTTTCCTTAAATACACATCAATACCTCTTGGTGACTGTGTGAATGCATCACTTAAGTCTGAATAATGTAATTAGTTAGGAGACTGTTAGGCTGATTCCTGACTCTTAATAGAAATAAGAGAGTATTTCATTTATAAATAAAAGCCTTTAAGGTAGAACAGCTTTCTAATTTACTAGTTCAGCCACCTTCTTCTTGCTGCCAAACAAGAAACCTTGGCTTGGTTAGAGTAGGGGTATGGTTCTTACGCTAAAAAAACAAGCCAAGCAAAGAGTCTGTTGTCCCCCCCCAAGCAATAAAATCACCAATCAGCCAACCCTAGCCTCAAAGACTGCTTGTTGCCTTTAATTCTCTATTATTTTTAAACCCAGCAGCTTGGTTCAACCTATACAGCTTGCATTTTGTAAGATGTACAGGTTAAACAGAATATGAAGCAGGAAAAGGATTGCTTGTACTTTTAAAGATGGAGCTCTGTAAAGCAGTTGAGGTCTGTGAAGAAAATGCAAACGAGTAAAGTCTTCCTTCATGTTGCCTTGTTTTTTATTTTTAATCTGCACCTAGGCACTTGTTATTACAAATTCTGCTAGGAAGACTTCTACTGTGGGTGAGATTGTGAATCTAATGTCTGTGGATGCCCAGAGATTCATGGACTTGGCTACCTATATAAACATGATTTGGTCTGCACCTTTCCAAGTGATATTAGCACTGTACTTACTGTGGCAGGTGAGTATTGTCTATTGTTTATTGTTTTGACTTTTGGCAAAGTATTGCTGCCTCTGGTCATGACTATAGACAGCTCTTGTTCAGACCACTGGATGGTTTACAGCAGTGTACAAAAATACTGTTTGTTTAGAAGCCATTCAGTGCTGCTTTTGACACTGCTCAAGAAAGAAGGCGGCAGGTTCTTAATTTGTGTGCCGAGTGCATGTGGAGAGTTCGCAGGTGCAAGCTACTATCTTTTGAGGGACTGCAGCATCTATCTCACTTTCCACTTGATTTAAAGAAAGGTGGTCTTGGTTCTGCAGTCTGAGACTCGCCATATGAAGTGTTTGCTATTTCTAGTCCAGACAGTCATCAGGCTGACTTCCTAATCCTGTCAGTTGGAAAGGTAATGAAATTCCCCAAGAAGCTGGCCACTCCCTGCATGGATCTCTATTTTAGAAGAGACAAACCAGTGAAAATTGGAAAACATTAAATGATCTCTGGACTGTGTATAGAGCTATATATAAATGGATAGATAGACCTGTATCTCGATACACCTCTCTATTTGAGGGCGGTATTTGTGTTTATTGCAAAAATCGAAGCACATAAGCATCAACTAAGGCCCTTACTTGATCCTCCTTCCCCCATGCTGCTTTTGAAAGGTGGAGAAGAGGTTGAAAAGCTGTTTTCAGAATGCTTTTCTGTAGCATGTATAGTGGTTTGATTTAAGATTTTTAAAGTGGGTCTGAATAAATGTTTACAATTAAGTGCTTTTCAGAATTTAGGTCCTTCAGTGCTGGCGGGTGTGGCTGTCATGATTCTTCTGGTTCCTATAAACGCTGTGATGGCAATGAAGACAAAAACCTATCAGGTCAGAACCTTTATACATGTGACAGTGCTTTTAAGAAACATGTTCTGTTCTTTGGCTTGTTCTTGTGGTTTGTCCTTTTATTTTTTTTCCTTCCCTCTATTTATCCCTTAAAGAAAGGAAAGGGAAAGAAAGGCCAGAGGTGTTGTGTATGCAGAAAAAACAAACACATGTATTTTCAGCCTTACAGCCTATCTGTACATAATGGTCTAAAAAATCTTCCGGTAGTTAAGACCAGGGTAGCAGGCTAGCCAGCTTCATGAAATGCCTGATAACTGGGTTGGAATTAGTTTAGTATTATCTCGTTGCCTAAGAACTAAAGGTGCAAATGTAAACTACTCTCTGCCTAATGAACTTTAATGAGTGAAATATTCACATTGGCAGGTTGGTGGTTGCAGTGTTGGGGTGTGTGTGGTTTGTTCATGTCTGTCTTCTAGGAGAAGTCTTAGTTGTTGGAAGAGACTTACTTAGCTCTGGATGTTCATCGAAATACACCACAGCATTTAGTTGCCACATGGAAGAAGTATGGATATCAGTTCTGTCACAGGCACACTTCCAGTAGTAACAGCTGTCTGGGATAGCTGTACCAGTGCAGTCTACTGACTGCCTAGTGCTGAGTCAAAGCATCATTTCAGCTTTACGTTGCTCTTATTAAAATACTTCATGAAGACACAAGTTTCTTCTTACAGCTCAATAGAAAGCACACCATAAGAAAGCCATCAATAATGCTGAAAATGAAGCAGAAACAAATGTGGTCTAAGGTTAGATACAAAGTGCACATTGCTGAAATTTGATTATATTGGCTTATTTTTTTATCTGCATTGTACCTAGGAGGAACCTGAACCCCAGGGCTCTCTGATGCAGGGTTAAACTCATTTGAACCAGTGACACAATTGTTTTGATCTTGGTTTGGATTTTCAGTTGCATAAAGCATTCTTTTAATTTGTTTAAAACATCTTGTTAATTCTGCATGTTTGTTTGTTCAGATAGCATCTCAGATTTCCTGCTTGGGAAGCTAGTAAGCTTTTGATGATAATGAGGTAAATTTTGCCATTGCAAAATACAAAGCTCAGAATTTTGTGGCTCTGCCAAGTACTGTGCTCTGCTAATTATTTTTTTGCAATGTTGTTTTTAGGTGGCTCAAATGAAGAGCAAAGACAACAGAATTAAGCTGATGAATGAAATTCTCAATGGGATTAAAGTTCTGAAACTTTATGCTTGGGAATTAGCCTTCAGAGAGAAGGTATTAGAGATCAGACAGAAAGAACTCAAAGTCCTAAAAAAATCTGCTTACCTTGCTGCAATGGCAACCTTCACTTGGGTTTGTGCTCCTTTTCTGGTAAGTGAAACAAATCTAGAAGTCTGCTGTCTTTTTTGGCATCGTACTTTCCAAGGCAACACTTGAGAACTTTTTTTGTTTTGGATTTAATGAGTGGAACAGTTAAAAAGCTCTCTGCAACAGTGGGAAGTTGAACACTTGTGTTTCCACTTCTCCATGAGAAGACAGTACTGTTTTGTTTGAAACTTAGCAACATTCCAGTTGGAATTACTCTGGAAGTTAATGGCTCAGGTATTTAAAAAATAAAAACCTCCTCTGCATCTCTCTCTAGTTTTGGTGGTTCACTTGAGAACATTACATGTACTGTCAGATATAGAAGAGGTAACTAATGGGCACAGTACCCTCCAGGTGGTAGGCATAAAACTTCCCTTATTTCATCATCTTTGAGAGCAGCAGGTCCTTAGGTAAGACTCCTTGATCAAGCGGGACATTATGCACCAGGTATACCTCTGGCCTGGGTTCTCCCAGCATCTGTTTAAGAACATTGTGGAAAGGTAAAGGCATTGAATACCCTGAGATAGCTTCAGATTCTCATATAAAAAAAAGATATTCTTGGTATGTGAAGCATCCCCATTGTGTTTGTGGTTAGCTTGCATTTATGCTAATAAAAGGGAGAGAAGGGTGGGATCACATCATATGTCTTAAGATCCTATTGGAACAATGGGCCATTGCTCTTGTCTGCAGAAGCAAATAAAATACATGACTACATTAGGATAAAATATGTGCCATTCCAGAAGGTGTTTAGGTGTACTTTCCAGTCTCAGATTCCTTCCCAACAAGCATTTTTAGTGTTTACATTATCTTTGGGCATGATGAAAGGCAGAAGAAGCAGTGCCCTGGATAGGAAACATCAGCTGCATTCTTAAGTGAATGCTTTTCTAAAAGAAGATTGAGATAGGTTTAATATTAAATACATTATTACATGAAGTTTCTAAATAAAACTCTGGAGGTGAACTCCTTAATGCTGTTCTGTGGAGCCTGAGAAGTCAAATTTGCCTAATGAATAGCTCTGTTTCAGTGCGCATTGTGAATGTGTGGCAGTGGTCCTACACCTTTGGGGATGTGCTGCTGGGGTAGAATCGGTACAGCCCCAAGTGCAAGGTTGCTGTTCAACATGACATTTCTTGGGTTTTTTTGTTCTGTTTTATGTGTTCTTCTGAACTTCTGATTAAGGAATTATTGTGGATGCCTACTTGAAATTATTTTTGACATGCAAAACTCTTTTTTCCTCTGCTCCTGTTTCCTATGGCCAGGGCTCTGTAAAACATTTCTTAATAATGGTGTCAGGAAACTTCATTCTGCAGTGCTTCCCCTACTGCTATGTGTGCTGGCAAGAGTGTATTTTAGACTTAACTGCTAGTAACACAAGTGTGCAGACATGCTGCTTGTGAGGTTATTCTTTGGACCCTGCCTTGTTTTTGATCTCTGTGGGAGGGCTTTCTCCCTGGAACATAGTTGTCCAAACTAAGGATTGTACAAACAAGCTACTGTACCAGGCACAGTTTAGTCAGCCGCTGTGTGAATAACAATACATGTCTTCACAGCAGTCAGATTTTTAACAGAAATACTAATGTCTTCAGGGATGCTGGGCTTAGATGAGACTGTTCCTTAGGCATTTGAGCTAATTGTTTCAAGTCTTGTGGGAGGGGGAATGCTAAAAGTCTAGCCTACCCTAATTTCTTGTTTTAAGTGGCAGCCTGTGGGAAAGAGTTGCTGGATCGTGTGATACACTGAGATATGGGTGTTGTTACCATGGAATAAAACACTGTGAGGGGAATAGATCTGAAAGTGAACATCTGGTTTTACTTCATTTAGTTTTGCTATCATCTAACACATTTTAGAAAAAATAAAGAAGTATACAGTTTTTAAAAAAATTATTTTTATACCTTATACCTGATGTTAACAGTGTTTCAATGTAATTTTCTTCTTCCGCATGGATCATGGTTTTTTCTGTTGTGAACTGTTGAGGTACTGTAAGGCTTCATCTTTGTAATGCAGTAGTGTTTCAAGTTTCTTGGAAAACAAACTGTCCATTATAAAGTGAGCTGTATTTGAGAGTCTAGGTTTGTAGTAGACTACAAAATATAAAATGGGGTATTTCTAACTTCTTTGTCTATATATGTTGCTGATCCGCTATTTGGTACCATGGGGAGTGCCTTAAAACTGAAAGAGAGCAGCGAGGAAGACTAGTGATCCTGCCTCTCCTTCCCTTCTCCTGCAGTGTAACCACAAATATCGTGGGGCATTTGTGGTTTCATACTTGCTGTGTGAAGACAGTGAGCCCTTGATACCTTTCCAAGAGGAGCCATCGACTTCTTTTTACAACAGTAAATTTAAATCAAATGTTTGTTCTGCAGGAAGTGTTACCAGGAACAAGGAAGTTACCAGAACATTACTCTTTGATTCCAGTTGTCTGTGTCTGTGTGGACTCCTGAGTTAGTGGCTTTAAAGTTACAGTAACTGTATCCGTTAAACTTTCTTTCAGGTTGCTTTGTCCACGTTTGCTGTGTATGTCACAATAGACAAGAACAACATCTTGGATGCTCAGAAGGCATTTGTCTCCCTAGCCTTATTCAACATCCTCAGATTTCCATTGAACATGCTTCCTATGGTTATCAGCAGCATAGTAGAAGTAAGACTTCAGTCATTAATGGGTGTTTCTGTGCAGAAATAGCTGCTGGGTGGAAAGATTACATTCCTGTGCTTAAAAGAATGTCCACTGGTGAAATTCAGCCACCTCAGAAAGGGAGCTTTGTATTTCCTTTGTATTTCCTGTGCGTTAAGTGCTCTGCAAGCAAAATTATCAATCCCAGTTACGGTGGATGGGTATTCCTGAGATCAACCATTATTTCTTGTGGTTTGGGAAGTGCGAGTTTGGTCAATGTTCAAGAAACTATACAAGTGGATTCAAGGAGGGATTAGGAGTGCATAATAGTGATGTAATACATATCTGGTGCAAAATAACAAGCTCTTAAATATAATGAGCAGAGTGTAAGATAGTTTTGTACCCCTTTCCCATGCAGGCCAGTGTCTCCTTGAAGCGCCTTAGGGTGTTCCTGTCTCATGAAGAGTTAGATCCAGACAGCATAATCAGGAGTCCCATCACAGCAGGTGAGTTTCTTTTCCTGTTGAAAATCAATGTATGCAGGTTTTGTGTGGCTTTGCAGTGTTTCTTCTGCTTTCTGTAACATTTACTGCATTTTGATGTATTTCACTGATAAATTTTAGCCAGAAAGCAGAGAAGGGAGTTTGTAAAATGAAAATACATAAAAAATTTCTAATGCATTCTCAGGCGTTAGATGAATGGTTACATTCAGACACAGTCACTTTACCTGTTACCTGCTAGACTGTTTTCAGTGTAGCCATTTGAAATGTGTAGGCAGTCAACAGAATGATTAATGCTGTGCCAAACCCCAGCGTTTTGAAGAACAGTCATGTAATGCTTCAATGCTTTTGAAAGAGAAAAGATTAAGTCCCTGTTAGGGCAAAATGCCTCAACTTTTGGTTCTGTGTGGAATGTCGCTACCAGTGTCACTTCCACTGTATCTAGTGTTGCTGGTCCAGTTACACAGAGCAATTTAGGAGACAGATAAGCATCAAGGCAGATTTATTGAAAAAACTTGTGCCCTTGCAAAACAAAATGTAAGTCAGTAATTTTTAAATGATTTTCCTTACATCATTTTTACAAAGATAGTGAAATCACACTCGCTGCCTCTCATGTGATTAGCTGAACTCTGTATCATTTGGAACTAGATGATCTTTAGGGTCCCTCCCAACCCAAATCATTCTATGATTTAAGTCACTTTGCTTTATGGTAAGCAGCTTCCTTTTGGGAATATCCCTTGCCCCTTTCTCAGCTGATAACTGTGAATATATTGCTTACAACCAGGGATGGTTGCAGTGCTCTGCTATGGAAACAGGACTGGTCATCCCCTAACCATGTAGCTAGCAGGGTACATGCATATCACCTGCTTGGCATTCTGCTGGGCTGATCTTCTGCAGAAGACAGGGGTATGTGCTTTAGTGTATCTTTAGTGTATGAGTTGTTTTTTTCTGTCCATAATGGGTTGCACTTATATGCTAATGTACATATTTGCCTAGGCTAAGTATTCATTGCATATTGGTTGAATTAGGGGTGGTATATTCTTAGTTGTTGCTGTAAAAATCTGCTGATGCCAGCGCCATGCAGCATGTCACTGAACAGGATTTTTGGTTATTTTATTTGGGAGTTTGAAATTTCTATTTATTCCCCCGCCCCATCATTCTTGTATTAACTTGGCTTCCCCTTGGAACTAGCAGTTTAGCTGATGCTTCCACTGAGACACAAGTCAGATGGAGGCCTCTAGTTTCCTGAGCCGAATATGCATGTTGCAGTGGAATTGCTGGATAAAGGAGTGTGCAGATGAGTAAGTCAGGATCTTTGTGTAGCTGACATTCAGGCACCTCCTGGTTACTGAATGAAGTGTAACCTCAGAATCTCTGCTGTCTTGATAAATTCGGTGAAAGCAGAATGCAAGCTTTTGGTAAGCAGTGGGTTGTTGTTCTGCTGGAAAAGTAGCTTTATACCTCTTTGTGTGCTTAGATTATCTTCTGTGGCACATTCCACAGCATACAATTCAGCTGCTTCCAATGGCACTTTAATAAATATGAATTTTGTTTTTCTCAGGTGAAGGATGCATTGTTGTAAAGAATGCAACATTTAGCTGGTCCAAAAATGATCCTCCTTTACTGAACAGGTAGGAATTAGTAATCTTTATTCCATTCCATAATATTGCTGAATCATAAAGGATCTGTATTTGAATTATTAAATCTTCATGCAGAACAGTTTGTTGTCGTAAAGAAACAGGAGAACAAATAACATCTGTTCCATATATATATTTTTTTTTAAAAAAACATGGCTTTCATGAGCTAGAGGAATTGACAAAGTATGTTACATGTATGGAATGCATAAAGGGGAGTAGCAATGGATGTAATGGGAGGTGAGAAAGCATCAGAGACTGCAAGTCTTGGTGTGTGCTGCAGATGGGATGAGCTCCATCTAGAGGAAGCAGCCAGATTAGCACCTCGTGATTATTCCTAGTCTGTCCTGGTTGTGCTGTCTTCAGTCTTCATTTTAAAACCCTGTTCTCGCTGAGCTGTAGCCATTCTTAGTACCCGTGCTGGAGGAAACCAGTGTTCAACCTTGCACGTGGTATGACTAATAAAGTAACTGGCGTGATGCAGTTACAAGCTGTGTCTTCCTGTGCCCTGTCCCCTTCCTTAATTTTGGCTGCTCTTTATTAGGCCTTAAATATTCTTTGGTACAAGGATACTGTGTGGGAAGCATCTATTGGTATTTACATTTGTGTTAACAGTATTTGAGAGACATATTGGACAGGTGGTGTTCAGTGTTGTTTTTTCTACACCCCACCCCCCCAATTACATATTAAGGTCCCATGTCCTAAGAAGAGGACCCCTTGGTACTTTCTGAATGAGAGGTTTATGTTTTCATACAGTTAAAGTTTCTATGCTGTGCCAGCATTTGCACTGGATGTTCACATTGCTCCTGGGTTTATATGGTCTGTTCAATGAACTGTTTAACTACTGGGATGTGCCAGTACGCGAGGCTGAATTATGTGCACTTTATTTCAGCATTAATTTCACTGTTCCCGAAGGCTCCTTGGTAGCTGTTGTCGGTCAAGTTGGCTGTGGAAAGTCTTCACTGCTGTCTGCATTACTGGGGGAGATGGACAAAAAGGAAGGCTACGTGGTTGTCAAGGTTTGATGTGTCTGAAGAACTGTTCAGCTATTTGTGGGTATAGCCAGAGGGATTCTAGATTTCCAAGAGATCTGGAGAGGGGAAGGGACAGCCTTTCAAATTAATGTGGTTTTAGCCTGATTTGTTGGCAGTCCATGTATATGCCTTAGCCTGCACTCTGTGTGATTGCCTGTTAAGCCTTGACCCAAGGACTTCTAAATATGTTGGTTTCAGATTTAGCCAAATAGACAGAATAAAGGAAGTCTCAAAGATAAGTATTCTGGTCTGGTGAGTCTTGTTGGCAGACAGGTGGAGATACCCTCTTATATATAGTCCAGACTAAGGAGGAACAGTATTGGTTCATACCTTGTTAGACACCTGAGAATTACATGGAGAGAGGGTATACCCAGTTACCCAAACATGGGAAAAGCTGCTGTTGTAATTTGTACTTTCTTAGACACTGGAGTTGCACAGAGTTCACAGATGAAAAATGACCTGTAAGTAAATAAGTAAAAAATTGTTGGTTTAGATTTTGCTGCTGCTGTAATGTATGGAAAGGGAATTATTTTTGGAACAAACCAAGTATGTTGCATTTAATAGAATGCACATGTGCTTACCTCTGAAATCCTTCTGGGGAAAATAAAAACAGGTGAAATCTGAATCACCAATTATTTGTTCAGGAAGAGCAGGCAGAACTAATACTCAAAACAGAATACATTGCAGTACCTCAGTCTCCTCCTCTGAAGTGACTTACACGAAAGCTACTTCCCCTTCTTTGCAGAAATCTCTTGGCAGGGATACATTTGCTAAACACTTGCATTTCAGATTAACTTGCTTTATGCAGAACATAATTTGTAACTTTCTGAAAGAATTAATGACTATTCACACTCAGTAACTGTGCAGACAGTCTCTAAACAAATGTTTCCTTCAGATTTACATTAGAGAATCATATTTGTTTGAAGTTCTTTTTGCCAACATACTTTCTGTGTTTTTTACTTTCTACAGTTTTCTACCAACATATCTTGTTACATTCATTTATATAGAGGTTTATAAAAATAGCATTTTGGAGGAGAGGATAGCGCAGCAACTACTTGGTGAAGCTTTGAAATGACCATAGGCAGTTCGTGAGGTGGTTAGCGCTGCCTGCCTCACAAAGCCCTCCTGCACTTGGACTTTGTGTGCAGACTTTTAGTCTAAGGTACTAAATAAGGAACTTATTTTTCTTGCAGGGCTCAGTAGCCTATGTTCCTCAGCAAGCCTGGGTCCAAAATGCAACTCTGCAAGATAACATTATCTTTGGAAGGGAGATGAATGAGAGCAGGTACAAGCGTGTGATTGAGGCCTGTGCACTGCTGCCTGATATAGAGATTCTTCCTGCAGGAGACAAAACAGAAATAGGAGAAAAGGTATTTAAATACCCACTCTACCATATCAGTGCTATTGCTTGTACTTATGGCTGTATAACTTCTACTTTATCTTAAAGTTGAATTGAATTTAAAACGTTCACAGTCAAAATCCTCTAGAAAAAGAGGCAAATTTGAGTAGTACGTTTTTCTTGTCTTTAAGAGACAAAGGGAAGGAAACCTCCCCAACCCCCCTAATTACAAATGCTAAAGCATCTTGCAATGGCAATTTTTTATCATAAGAGCAGAAAAACGTATGGAAAAAAAGGAAGAGGAGAATCTTCTGAATGCTGCAGCTTCATTTAACACAAACACCACCCCCCCCCCCCCCCCCCCCCCAAACCAGCTACCACACAAAACTGGCCCTTAGTTGCAAAATTGTGTGGTGTGGAATTTAGAAACTTTCATGGATGGTTGCAGTGCTCTGCTATGGAAACAGGACTGGTCATTCCCTAACCATGTAGCTAGCAGGTTACATGCATATAACCTACTTGGCATTCTGCTGGGCTGATGTTCTGCAGAAGAAAAGGTATGTGCTTTACCTGCTGACTAGTTATAGGAGGGGGGTATAGCTGACAACTGACAGCCCCAGATTCAGCAAAGGGTGCAGCTTTATCTTCCTTATTGGTCAGCAGGCCATCCAAATTGTAGAGTGTTAACAGAGTTTGTTAAATCAGAAGCAGCGCTGCAGAAATACAGCTAAGAAGTGGCCTCTGAATGTACAGAGTAGGCAGGTTGGTGTGGATTAATTGCTTTATAAGACTAGCAAACACTTGACTAGCCCCTTACTGACAGTGAGAACCTAATAGATGTGCTTCTTTCCAAGAGGATTTTGACTGTGAATTGCTTATGCTGTTGTGGTAGTGAAATTATGTGTGATGGAGATCTGCTTCATACAATGCTGAAATTTTGCTGATTTGCATAAAGCACCTTTGACTTTATGCACAAACTGGCAAGACATCTCTTTCCTGCTGTAAATAAAGGGATCCTATTTTCTTGTTTCCCCAGGGTGTGAATATGTCTGGAGGACAGAAGCAGCGAGTCAGTCTTGCTCGGGCAGTTTACTGTAATGCAGATGTTTTTTTATTTGATGATCCTTTATCAGCTGTTGACGCTCATGTTGGGAAACATATTTTTGAAAATGTTATTGGACCGAAGGGAATCCTGAAAAATAAAGTATGTCATAATGAGCTACTTGTCTCTAGAGAATGATTTGAGTTTAAAAGATTCCAAGTTTGTCAGGTTGTACATTCAGACTTGTTTCAAATGTCTGAAAAATGAAAGCATTCTTCTGAGATTTTTAGAGGACTGTTAGAGAACACTTGAGTTTTTATAATTAAATGTGCTCAGATTTCTGTAACTCACATTTTTCTGATGGAAAAATCAAGGATAGTATTTTTCCTTTAAAATGCTAAATGCCTGTCCACAGTTCTTATTGTATCATACCCAGAATTCAAGCAGCATGAGCAGTAGTTCAACCATTGTATTTAACTAATCTCAGATGTTAGAAAAACTTGTGTTTTTCGTTTTCTTTTGCTATTTAGACCCGGGTTTTGGTAACCCATGCGATTAATTACCTGCCTCAAATGGATACAATTCTGGTAATGTCTGATGGAGAAATCTCTGAGATGGGCTCCTATCAGGAGCTGCTGAAGCAAGATGGGGCTTTTGCTGAGTTTCTTCGTACATATGCTAATACTGAACAAAGCATGGAGAACAGTGGTAAGCTTACTAATAAATTCTCTTGGGATAAGCTGATGTGTGGCATGTTAAGGGAGTCGTGTTAATGGAAAAATAGTAGCAGTGGAAGTAAGGTTAAAAGAAATTACTATTTCTTGTGATATACATAAAAGTGCTTATTTCTTGAGGGCGTTGAAAGTTGAGATTAAGTGCACATTCTTTCTTAAAAGTTAGCAAAGTGTGAAGTATATCTATAGTAGAATTCACTTGAAGCATGGTTCAGGTACTTGTGAGATCAAGTAAAGGCCAGCAGGGGTTTATACACCCTTCCTATGCTTATTAGGACATGTCTTCTCTATGCAGATAGTTCATTTGGGGACGGGGAGGAGGAAGCAGCAGCTCATTTTTCTAGCAGATACTCTTGACTTTTTCTTCTGCTTTACAAACCAGCTGTAGAGCTGCACTGATACAGGAATGTACTTCAGATATTTTACCTGTAGATGGTCACAGTGTTGAATTTTAATAACGGAACTTAGCCTCTTGCCTCCATCCTGTTTTCTTCAGTGGTTTGCTTGTGGTGATTTCCTGATACTCCCTCATATGCTCATGCTGAAAAGTATGAGGGGTGCTTGCTCTGTGCTGACCGGCTAAGTTGTTGCCATGTGCTTGAGGCTGCTTTGTTAGCAAGTGCTTGTTGTTGACTGCTGGAGAGCAGGCTCTCCAGAACAAGAAAGGGATTGAGATCACTAAATATTATTAAAAATCACAGGTTCTTGGGTAAACACAGAGTAGTCTCTGATGGAAGTCAGCCTGAGCTAGTTGGAAAGGATCTGTGCATCCAGTTTGAAAGGGAGGCTTCCTTATGTCTGAAGCCTTAAGATGGAGCAAAACAGAAAGCTCAGTGCTTTCTCACTGGAATACACTCTGCTTCTTAAAGGGTGGTAAAGCCTCTACTTCTGCTCAGCCTCTGAGGTTTGGCTCAAAGTCTGCTCCCCATTGCCTCCCAGGCCTTCTGTCCCATTTGAATTCTTGAGGGTTACTTGCTGTCAGTGTGCTGTACTGCTTCCTTTCCCATCCTCAGCTTTATGGAGTTTCTTCCGAGTGTGGAAAAATGCCCCACTCGAAAGCTGCCCCCATGTGAGTGCAGGATGGCTCAGAGGGAATGTGTGAGCTTTCCCTTCTTAAGCATCCTACTTGAAGCACAAGGCAGTGACAAGGGTGGCAGCAGTAGCTGCTCAGCCACAGGGAGTGCAATGTGCAGTGCAGTTGCTTTCAGTTGTGGGTACATGAAATGGATGTCCTACTGCATCTGTGGCATGTAATCTCCAAAGTAACTGGAACTACTTGTAATCTACCAGGTTGCATAGAAAGCATCCAAATTAATTTTGCTTTTAGTGGTTGCTCCATTCTCTGACATTTAGTATGGCTGACCTGCAGATGCCAGTACTGCTACTGCCTGTGCAGATTGGTCTGGAGTCATGGATGTGCCCCTGACTCCTGTGAGTGCATGTCTTTTTTGATGTCATCCTATGTCCCCATCTGGATGTGTTCTGTGTTCCTCTTCTCCCTCTCCCCTGGAGCTGTTCCTGCAATACCTCTTGGTCTAGAGGTAGCAAATAGTTACTTTAAGATTACCTTTCTTGTGACTGTTTTCCCTTGTCTCCCATACAAACTAATGCAGCAGATTTCGTTTTTGGTTTAATGTATGGGGGAGTTGAGGTTTTGCTGTTTTTTTTTTCCATATGCTTTCAGCATTAACTTTGGTTTGTCCTTTGAAAGCCTAGAGCTATATTTAGTGTTTGTGGGGAGCAGGAGTGGCTCCAGAGAATTGAAACTGCATCTTAAGGTTGAAATATTTTTTAACTGTCTGTTTCATCTTCAGTCTTGACTGCAGCGTCTGATAGAAATGTACAGCACAATTAGTAACTCAAAATCTGATTTGCGTTGTGTGGGCTGTGCTTCAAGTGTTTGGCTCCCCAGTATTTTACTCCATGACTTTGCACTCAAAAAAAGAACTGCAAGACCTTTTAATGGCAATTCAGTTCATTTTTATTTCTTTTTTAATATGAGAAATGCCAGGCTGCCTCCGTTTTGGCTTGGAGGGAAAGTGGGGTAAAAGTACTCTGAGAACTGCTAAGGCTCTGGACTGTACAGTTGAGTTCAACAATCTACATATCTTGAACTGTCTCGATGTGTCACTCGTAGCTACCCAGTTTGAAGGTCTTTGGGGTTTTTTTTTCTTAGGTTTTGTGGACTTAACTCCCTAAATACCAGCTCTTGTCCATGTAAAGTAGAAATGTGCTGTCTGGAAAAGGTAGTATGGTACATGAGTAAAATTGGCAGGGTCTTGTTTGGCCTCTATGAATTGCTTCCCAATTGCAGCATAGAAGGGAAAGAAAAATAATTTATTTATTTTCAAGTGCTGAGTTTGACAGGAAGACAGCTTCCTGGCTTTGTATTATACGCTAGGTACTAGTGTGTATTTCGTTATAAAAATGAATTCTGTGTTATGAGCTGGGATTTCATATCTGTAAGGAAAAGTACTGTGCCTTCACGATCAACACTGTCTCCCAGTATAGCCTATCGTGCCTCTGTTTTGTGGCTGTGCTTCTTTCTAACAGCATGAGGGTGAAATAAGCTTAATAGCAATGTTGGATAGTGATAGCTTGAATGATGCCTGTAGGGATGGTTGAGTGCTTCTCTCCTTTCTGACTCCTTGGAAGGCAAGAGTTAGGGATGTGCTGGCTCTTTTTCAGATGTTGTTGTGATAATTCAGGAAATGTGTCTCTGTTAGGAAATGATCTGACTTTCTCTTAAATTCTTTTTACTTCTAGCAAAACTTGACTCTTTCCTTTCTCTCTCGTAAAATAAAAGCAATCTGCAGCCTCTGCCCCAAATGGTAGAAGCAAATACTCACTTAGGGTGAGGACTGTTAGGGTATCAAGACGCTTGGAAGAGTGAAGTATCTCACTATTTTATACTGAACTGTCTATGCAGGATGATGACTGGGGGCTACAGAGTAGATAGGATTAAGTAAACCTGTACTACTACAGTTCTTCTCTCAGAATAGCAGAGCTGTGGGAGGAGATATGCAGCCATGTGGACAAAAGTTGCCATGCTGATAGGTATATCACATGATGCTTTGCATCTTCAGTGTTAAGGTCAGGGACTTGAATGAAGTCTTTTCCTCACCACTGGGGAAGATGTATATGGTAGTTCCCTGTGCACAGTGACGTTTTTCTGTCACTGTGTACCGGAAGCACAGTGTTTTGTGATTGTTAATATGAGGTCACTTTAGCATCACTTTTTTGGTTCTTTCTTCATTAGTGCGTGTACTGAAAAAAAAGGCAGTTTCTTGATCATTCACTGGGGGCTATCCAATTTGGATTTTTCTTTTTCCTCAAGGTTGCCTTTTCTTGGCTGTGTATAAGGCTTGGGATTAAAAAGAAATCCATTTCAGCAAATTTGATCCTGCCTTTGGCATTTGTGGCTTTATGGTTTAGGTTGTGCTATTTGGGTGCATTTGTGTTTGTAAAGATTGAAAATGGTTGAGTGTGTTCTGGAAAAAGTTAATTACATATACTTTTAGATTCAGATCCTTCATTAGAAGGAGCAATTCAACCTCTGGAAACAGGTAACTGCTTTTCTGCCATGTGACTTTGTTAGTGTTTGCATTGGAGTAATACGAGTAGCTGCAGTTCATTTACAAGTGATTGAGTTGTTACTAGAAGCTTTTTGTCTGCACAGTAGAAGGTAACTGCTTGGTTTGCATGGTACTTGTTTGTGTGATGCTACAACAGTTGGTTTGTCAGCTTGTAATTCCATCAGAAGGAATTCTTTATCTCAGACACTTCCATGAGGAAGTTTTAGGTAAATGTTAAAACTGCATGTTGGACTTAAGACTGCAGTGAGTGTACCCAGGGAGGCATCATTCAGGAATGAGCCTCAAAGGCCTTTTTTTCTTCTCATATGTGTGTTCTGTACTTTGCAGCTGTTCCCTTTTTTAGAATTTCTGGACACATGTTTCAGCAGCCCTCATTTAATGAGCTTGTTCCCCATGTGCACGTGCCAGATCTACGATGGCATTTTTCATTTTTCAAGAGTTAAATGCAGTAGAAGCAGGATATCTTTGTAGCCTACAAAATGAAATCAGATTTAAGAGCTGTTAGGGGAGGGTGGTTTATCTGTGGTATTGCTTTTGTCATGTGGGTTTAGAACTTCAGTAATTCTCTCAAGCAATATGAGACTGGAATGCTTGCTGGTTTTTAGAAGGGAGCCTTTAAAAATAAATGCAGTCCAGTGCTTAAAATAACCAGTAATCCCATATTGGCTTCCTCCTACCCATGTAAATAGGAACTGAGTCATTCAACTTTTCACTACTTCAGATTTTTTGCCTTTTTTCTGGTTCCAGATCACACTGAGGCGTTTTAACTTTGGGTGTTTAGAATAATGAACCAATATTCAGTTTGCAGACACAGGAGGGAACAGCTTTATGTCCAAGCAGTCCACACTTAATGTACTGATGAAGTGGGGTTTTTTTATGTGTGTGTGTGTATATATTTTGCTTTAGCATAAAAACATGAAAACTTCAGACTCCAGACGGACACAAACGTTCCTGCGTATCTTCTGAATAGATGCGGGTGGGGTTTTCTGTTTGCATTAATTATGCACAGACCCTTTAAAATGCACAATTCTTTTTGCTGCAAATTCTGAATTAACTTCATACCTGAAAATAGAGTTCTGTTCACCTGACAGCTTATTCTTTAGGAGTCAGTCATTTGTCTTGTATTAGGAAAACTGTAGCGTAAGTTGAACATCAAAGTTTTACTCCTGGCACTGTATTAAACTGAATTATGTTGCTCAGAGGAAGCTGAATATTTCAAGCTGACTGGCTCTGTGAAATGTTTTAGAGAATTGTCTCGTGTGTGCTGCATCTTGTTACAAGTGGGATGGTGTGGGATAACAAAACTAAAATTAATAGCACATGCCTGCTGTTATTACAGCTTTCTCACTTACTAGAACATCTTCTCATTGAGCTCTAAGATGAAAATAATTTATAGCTAACTGTGTAAAAGATATGGTTTGAAGGGGAATGGCTAGAGTGGGTGTCCCCATCAGCCCCTTTCCCCTGAATGAATCATAATGTGACTTGGTATTGTATGCTTTAACATAAGTTCTCACAATTACATTACTTTATTATTACTGACCTACATTTGATAGAAAAATAAATGTTCCCTAACAACAACTAATGGTGTTGGAGATGGAACTAAACTGATTTGTTCATCTGGTCAGTTATCTGTTAGTATCTAAATATTTGTGTTCCCTTGTTTGTTGGCACATTGAGACTGCACCTAGCATTTAAGATTGAAATGAAACCTTTGTATTTCACTGTCTCACCATTTTCTTGTTTGCATTTTCACCCCTCCAGATACAAACAGTCCATCTGGAAAGGAAGGAAAGCCTGTAGAAAATGGAATACTTGTAAATGAAGCCTCTGGAAAGTTGATGCACAGGTATGTAGTCTGTCTGTCTGTTTCTCTTCCCTTGTCCCTTTTTCATCCTGTTAGTCAGCTGTGGGTAAACAGTAATTTGGTGTTTATGGTATTTGTTAGAGAAAAGTGTATCATGCTAGATCCAGCAGCCTGAGAGAGTCAAGGCTGCTGCTGCTCCATAGCTCCAGGTCCAACAGGAGGAAGGATAAGATGTACTCCCACCAGTGCTCATCAGTATAGTATACATGGAGTATACTGTACACATGGCCAGCCACACAGATCATGTACGCTTAACAGCACCGCACAAATCCAGCACCAAATGGCTGCATCCTGTTCCCATCTCTGGCTGAGCAGGATGGAGTTTCACTAGTGGGAATGTATTATATATGTACACATTAGATCTCTCCATTAGATGGGCTTAGATGCTCAGTCTGCCCAGGAACTACCCTAGATCCCTTCCCTGTTGCTCGTACCTGGGTATATGAACTTCTGAGGCTGGAGCCATGCTCCATTTGCTGGTACAGATTATTGTGCATTTGTGTCTGCGCACATGGAACTCTCATGCTGTTCCTTCCATGTGAAGAAACTATTGCATTATAACAAACTGTGGGTTTGGCGTGCATTAAAGGGAGAGTATCGCATTGGCTAGTCCAGCTTTCATATGCTTTCCTGAGGCTTCTGCATTTGACTGCTGTCAGATGGGATCAGGTGCCAACTGAACCTTTAGTCTGACCTAATATAGCTGCTGTTATGCTTGAGAGAGGCTAAAGGCAATCACTATGATTATACCTTCCTGAAATCATTTCATAGTCTATGCCTTAATGGTGCTCTAGAGATCCTGTATTTCTGGAAGCTAACGAGTGCCTGGGGGTAAAATTGCCCGTTTTGATGCCAGTGCAGGTACCCTTTTTGCACTTCAGCATCTGCAGCGTATATGTGATTGTAGGCTATGTAAAAGCTGATGTTGGTGACCACCAGGCATTTCTCTTTCTGAAGTTTGATTATACAACCAAGACTTCTTTGACTGAGTAGTGTGTTACTCATATCTGAAGATGGGTACTTGGGAGCTGAATGCTGTCAGGGAGGATTTAGGAGTGTACTGTGAGGGGAGGAGGGAAGCATTAGTAACCATTGGCCTGATGAGGGCTGCTTAGGAGGTTGGTTATGACCATTGTAATGTAAGACAGAGTTGGAGCCATGGACTGTTCAAATCTATTTATGAAGTAAACAAATACCTGTCATGTATGATGCCACGACTGAAAAAATATGTCTTCAAACAGGCAACTCAGTAACTCTTCAACATACAGCCGGGACACTGGGAAGTTACAGCAGCACAGCAGCACAGCAGAGCTGCAGAAGCCACAGGCTGAAAAGAATTCCTGGAAACTGACGGAGGCTGACACAGCGAAGACAGGGAGGGTAAGGTCTCCTGTTCCCACTTCATGCACCCTTTTTCAGTGTCAGAAAAATCCACAGGGTTCAGGAAGAAATAGCTTCTGAAGCCCATGTAACTGGCGTAAAAAAGGGCTGAGTGGATTCTTGGACTTGTTGCCTGATTTGTAGTACTTCATAAAAGTGTTGCTGTGCCCTCTGTTCCCAAAGATGAGCCTCAGGTTTGCCTGCAGAAAGAGTTCTGACACCAAATCTTTTGTTTAAGAAGGTGGCCCTGACCACATCAAAGTTTAAAAGGAGGACTGAAAACCTTGCAGCTATTTCTTGGAGAGAGGTTATGACAAATGAGGTGACCTAATGAAATGTGCTCTTCAGCGTAAGGAGCTGGAATTGAATCAGATGAATTTAAGCCAAGTTTCCACTGTAGACACAAGTATCTAATCCCAGGGTACCCAGGACTCTCTGAGAAACGTAAGAGTGAGGTTCCTGGGAAAATGGCAGTTACACCTCCTAGCAGTGTTGCTTGAATCCTCTGGTTAAACATAGATCATAGGATACAAGCCATGTGAGCAAGGGTCTAATTAAAGGCCATATAATCTTGTGGTAAAAAGAGAGAGCCAAAACCTGGAACTCCTTAGTGAAGTTTCTGGCTCTCCCACTGATGCCCTGTGTTATTTCAGGCAGCACTCTCCCTACTCTTTCCTTTCCCTTGGAAGACAAGGGAAAGATGATGTGTGCCTGCCCTGAAGGGATGCTGGTTTTGGCACATCTCCATAGAATGCTTTGTATCTTGTGTTCCTGTTGTGGTTTAAGCCCAGCCGGTAGCTCAAGAACTGTGCAACCACTCGTTCGCTGCTCTCCATTCTTTCTCCCCCCTCTCCGGGAGGAATAGGGAGGAGAATTGAAAGAATGGAACTCTCACAGGTTGAGATAAGAACAACCCAGTAACTAAGGTATAACACAAATCACTGTTGCTACCACCAATAATAATAATGATAAGGGAAATAACAAGGGAAGAGAATACAACCGCTCACCACCCACTGACTGATACCCAGCCCGACCCGAGCAGCGATCTAGCACTTCTGGGTAACTCCTCCAGTTTATATACTGGGCATGATGTGCTGGGGTATGGAATACCTCTTTAGCTAGTTTGGGTCAGGTGTCCTGTCTCTGCTTCCTCCTGGCTTCCCCTCCTCCCTGGCAGAACATGAGACTCACAAAGTCCCTGGTCAGACTAAACATTACTGAGCAGTAACTGAAAACACCGGTGTTATCAGTGCTGTTCCCAGGCTGGAAGTCAAAAGTACAGCACTGCACCAGCTACTAAGAAGGAGAAAAATGACTGCTACTGCTGAATCCAGTACCATTTCCAAACAGTGGCTCTCTAGAGTGCAGCTGTTGTGTTTTAATGGCCTGATGCAGGGATACTGACTTTAAATAGGTGTTGAAGAAGGGCGAATTGCTGATTTTGAAACCTGATCTGCAAAATGAGTATTTCTTTTTTTCCTTCTATCTTCAGGTAAAGGCAACAGTGTACTGGGACTACATGAAAGCAATTGGACTCTTTATCTCTTTCTTGAGCATTTTTCTCTTCATGTGTAATCATATAGCATCCCTGGCTTCCAACTACTGGCTAAGTTTATGGACAGATGATCCTGTTATCAATGGGACACAGCAGTACACAAATGTCAGACTGGGAGTGTATGGAGCACTGGGAATTTCTCAAGGTTTGCTTGTTCTTACCTATTTAAGTAAACATTGTTCAGAATGTTTCTAATACTGTTGGTGAACTTGTATCTTGAGAACTGCAGCAGCAGTTTGCTTGCTAAGGATTTGAGTGTGGGTTTTCATAGAAATCTGAAAAACTTGCAAATAAAACAAAGGGAAACAAACCAATCTGTAAAATTATTCAGTTAGTGAATATGGTTTTCTATCATTTGTACAAAAGGGGAACAAAAGTGGTTTGCAGGGGACGATGAGCCAGCAGTTGGTGACAAAATGTCTGACCGGAGAAATGGCTCATTGGCCCGTCAACAAGGTGTGTTAGCCTGGTTTGCAGAGAGTTTATCACAGGAGGCCATGGCTATGTTGCCTCTTTGCAGGTGCAACCTGGCTAAGCTGCTCAGGCTGGTGTTTCCTCTAACTGCTTGTGGGTCTATCCATGGCACCGTGGGAAATCAAGCTCAGCAGCTTTTTGTTATGTGTCCTCTTTGTGGTAAAAGGTTGTTTGCCATTAAACCTAATCCTCCAGCTGTGCCACTTCAGAACTGCTATAAAAATCCTGCAATAAAAACTAAATGCTACATGAAAATTCAGTGGGTTTACTCCAGAAAAGCACTCAAATGTTACACAGAATTTTTTAATGAGAGAAATGTGATGTTTTCAGTGTTATTTTTTTGGCATACTATACATGTGCTAACGGTAAATGATGACAAAATGAGGAAAATGTTTTATGTGAGAAGTTGAAGCAGTTAAAAAAAAGTCTTCTTTTCTAGGTATCGCTGTGTTTGGCTACTCCATGGTTGTGTCAATAGGGGGAATATTTGCTTCACGACACCTGCACCTTAACCTGCTGCACAGCGTCCTCAGGTCTCCAATGAGTTTCTTTGAACGTACACCCAGTGGAAATCTGGTGAACCGTTTCTCTAAGGAGATAGATACCATTGACTCCACCATTCCACCAATCATCAAGATGTTCATGGGCTCAACATTTAATGTAATTGGGGCTTGTATCATCATTCTGCTGGCCACACCTATAGCTGCTGTCATTATTCCACCTCTGGGACTTGTCTACTTGTTTGTGCAGGTAAGGAGTCCCTAGGGGCACTAGGACCAACAGTCGCTCACCCTCTGTTATTTGAGACAGTTCTTACTCTGCACCAGTGTTTAACTTGAATCATGCTTGGCTGACTGTGCTTTGCATGGTTTACTGACTCGCTGATGTTAGCAGAACATTTCCTTCCATTGTCAAGTGTAGAATGACTTCTATGCAGAAGGTTATCCTTTAATACCTAAGCAAACTTTATAAAAATGCCATTAGATTTTGAGGCAAATTTTGCACAGCTTGTTGCTCAGAGCCCAAATGTAGAAAACCTATGAGCTTTTCTAAAACTTCCTTCCAAACAATAGGGTAAGCTTTAGAGGGGTATGTATGCATTGCTGGTGTGCCTGTTTTGTCAGAATATTGTTTACAGAGCAAGATAAATGTGGCAGCCTTTCACTGCTGTCCTGTGTAGGCAGGGTGTGCTTGCTTCACTCTTGCTTTACTCTTAGAAATCTAGTAGAGCCAGATAGGAGAGAAGCAGCTGGATTTTTACTTTGGCTCATGAATTAGTGAATCTATTAGGCTCCATTAGTAAACCATAAAGGTAGTGATACGTGTTTTATAATGTTGAACTAAGCTTGCAGGGAAGAGAAAGAGGAGAAAATGGCCACTCATGAGATAGGCAGTTGTTTAAAGACCACAGCATGTATGTAATGGTCTTTTAGGCCCGAAAGCATTGGAGGAGGCATGTATTCCAATGTGAAAGTTGAATCTCTGTAAAAACCAGCCCAAAGAGCAGGGGACTCTCTTATGATTCCCTTTGTGTTTTCAGATGCAGTCTGGATGTAACCATAATTCTCATACTCTTGATTTGCAGAGATTTTATGTGGCCACCTCTCGCCAGCTCAAACGTCTTGAGTCCGTCAGTCGTTCTCCTGTGTATTCTCACTTCAATGAGACCCTCCTGGGAGTCAGTGTCATTCGAGCCTTTGAGGAGCAGAAACGTTTTATAAAGCAGAATGACATGAAAGTGGATGAAAATCAGAAAGCTTATTATCCAAGCATTGTTGCAAACAGGTAACAGTGGGGTTAAAATGCTGAAAGGCAGTTATATAGGGAGGACATCAATCACAGCTTTCAACATACTTGTCCAGGGTAGGGAGCCTGTGTTGATATAGCTGTTTGACAGATGTTTTGTTTAAACTCCTGTGATGAAATTAAGATCTTAAGAATTTCTTTTCTTTGTTGAGAATTCCTGCCTTACTTCTAGATAATTATTGTTTAAACATTTTGATTCATTGATCCCAATGTTAACTGCAACTGCTTTCTGAGCTAAGCCAGGAATTTATGCATCTGAAAGGTTTATTATTTTTGGATGCCTCTAGATTTGCATGCTGCTGGAGCAGAACCTCAAATATCTCTCAGTTCCTGTGTTACTGGTGGTATGCAGATGCCATATTATTAATCTTTTCAAAACCAAGCTGTGATAGAACACTGGCTGACCATGTTTCTAATTAATCTCTCAGTGAATTACCAAACAGATGCCTTACAGTTTTCTGTCTTGCAGGTGGCTGGCTGTCCGTCTGGAGTGTGTGGGGAACTGTATTGTCCTCTTTGCAGCATTGTTTGCCGTGATGGCACGCAACAAACTCAGTGCAGGACTGGTTGGCCTCTCGGTGTCTTACTCACTGCAGGTAATTTTACCTTAATTTTAAAAAAGGCTCTGAATTGTAAGACTGCATCATAAAGTCAGAACCTTGCTATGGCTTTGGAGGGAACATATAATAACTACAACTAGTATGTAGAAAGATGTTGGAAAGTTCCTTCTGTGCCTTGCCTATGCGAGGGGATGTGGCTAAGACAACTCATCCCCTGCATGTTAAAGGCATCTGGACTTTCCTGCTGTCCAGCACTGATTAGCCAAGATTTTTTCTGTGTTTATGCATTCCATGAACTTGCAGTGTTTTGGCTGTTTTGAGTTCATTTATTGCAGGGAGCTTACTTAGTGTAAACTGCTTCTAGACTTCTTTTCTTCTTGCAGATTACAGCGTACTTGAACTGGTTAGTTCGCATGTCATCTGAGCTGGAAACCAACATTGTAGCTGTTGAAAGGGTCAAAGAATATGCTGAAATGGAGAAGGAGGTACATTGAGTTGTCCATCACATCTGTAGGAGTCAGTGCTCTGTTCTTTCTTGCCCACAGCCTGGCTGAATGGGGTTAGAGCTGGGCATATCCTCTGAACTAAGGGAAGAGTAGAGCTTAGTGCTGCCAGTGCCCTTCCTCTAGGAACAAGCTGGATCTTTGGGGGTAATTCCTGTGACTGCTTTTGAGGTGTATCCAATGACATTCACACAGTGTTATTTAGCAAATTTGTTCTGCCTTGGGCTAAGCAGTACAGCTGTAGAAAAGTTTTGGTTGCCTATGTCCTTAAACATTGGTTTTTAATTTGTTTTTCTTTTTGCTCTCAGTGTGGTGAGTAAAAAGGCTTTACTTTTTTTGTTGTGATTCAGATCATGTAACAACTCATTTTATCTGCAATTGGCTGCAGAACAGAGTTCCCCATGGCTTCTATTTGCCTTGCCTTCACTTGAACCTGAACTTGCAGTCAAACATTATGAGGCTCCTTCCTAAGTTTTTTGTTTTTCGGGTTCGCTATTTATACAGTTAAAAGCCTTTTGGCACTGGTAGTAAATTCAGTAGGGTAGGTTCTCTCCTCTTCCACCTCTGTGGGAGGCTGAGGCAGCAGCTGTTTATTTTACCAGGTTGTTAATCTTCTGGTGCTTATGTCTCAGATAAACTACTTCTAGTTGCTTGTCTGGCTTCCCCAGTGGTTTCCTTACTGTGATGGGGGTGTACAGTTGGGTTATTTGAATATGTGCTGCCTGTATGATTCTGCCTTTTATAAGAGGAAAATTTAATCAGCAAGTGTGACTTGTGATAGCAAAGCCTTTGGCTCCATATGCCACTTCATCTGCCTTGAGGCAGCTCTTCCCTTCTCTTCCCATCATCATCACGGTTCCTTTTGTAAATTATACACTAACACTGTGTCCGTGTTTGGTTGAAGGAGGAACTGATCAAATGTGTTTGTGTGGTTCTTTCAGGCTGAATGGAGTATTGAGCAAACTGCCCCAGCAAGTACCTGGCCTGAGGAAGGGAAGATTGAGTTTCGAGGCTTTGGTTTACGTTACCGGGAAGACTTGGATTTGGTTCTGAAAAGCATAAATGTTACCATAAATGGGGGTGAGAAGGTAATGAACCTGAATTTATAGTAGAGTGTTACTGTTCATAAGCCTGCATGCATAAGCCAAAGAGAGGTCCAACCCTGTTCTGTAGTGTGTCTTTAAGGCAGAAGAGCTTCTGTAGAATCAGTCTTAACATGACTGGCATATACAGTGGGTTCTTATCCTTTTCAAGGTGTGTCTTGCATCATGGGATAAAGATACACTATTATGTGGGCTTGTGAAGTATCTTTTGATCTGGTTTCATAAGGAAATGAGGTTTATGCTGTCTCCTCTCCTCTTCCAAGGAAATTTTGCTTATTTGTTTGCTGTAACCAAAGAGGAGTACCGGTTGCAGTGAGGTGAAGTTAATTACAGTCTTAAGAAAATGAGGTACTAAGTAGAAGGGGGAAGCCCTGAATCTAGTGTGGCAGAAGTTGCAAGGTGAGGCTCTGCAGGAAAATTGGGACTTCAGAATAGATTTTCTGAATCTAGCCAAAACAGTGATGATACGTGTGTGTGTCTTGTGCTGCTGCTTTGCCCACACACTCACATGCATTCTTCCTCAGTCCTGTATGGGTTCTGTGATGTCTAACAGTAATGTGTTCTTGCATGGCAGCATAAAAGGTAGCTGCAAGGTCTACTGCCTGGCTTCCTTGTTTGTGGTATCCAACTAGGCATTTGGTTTTTTCCCAGAGTGCCCACTTTCTACCTGTATGGGCAGGACACTACCTCAGAAGTAGTGAGAAAGGGCATATGGCAAGAGAGACATCAACTGACCAAAGTAGCAATCTTGTATTCTTATTTAAAAAAGAATTGGTGAAGGCTTCAGTCTAACTGGGAAGCAAAGCATACAGTATGAAACCGAGTGCTTTTGGTGTGTGTTTGCTATAAATTCAAATGAGATAAATGTCAAGTCAGCAAGTATGACTGAAGGGTGCATCAAACAAAGGATTAGGGAACCTTGGCTGGCTCTACTCAGTTCCATCTGCTTTTCTAGAAAAATTGAAAACTTAAGTGATTGGATTGCAAATTTTGAGACTGCTTTTTGTTCTTGCTTTTTTGTTTTTCGTATCCAATGTCTCTTCTTCCCCTTTCATCAGCCTCAATTTGTTGCTGTTTTGGAGTTTTGATAGCCCAGCAAATATGACAACCCTCTGAAAATGTGTCCGTTTCAGGTGGGTGCTTGGGAATGCTTTAACTCTTCTGTGGAATAAGTTGTTCCTGTATTTCTTCCCAACAGATTGGAATAGTTGGAAGAACGGGAGCTGGAAAATCCTCACTTACTTTAGGTTTGTTTCGGATTAATGAAGCAGCTGAAGGAGAAATTATTATTGATGGAGTTAATATTGCAAAGATAGGGCTCCATGACTTGCGGTTCAAGATCACCATCATCCCTCAGGTAGGTGTGAAATCCTGCCATTGCCAGAACTCATTCTGTCACAGTGCTGTTGCTGTAATGTACTGGGGACAATCTTCCTTTTCTGATTTATAGCTATGAAATTGAGTCATTTCAGCATGCTCTTTTCATGAACTTGAAACCAAGCTCTTTTCCTAGACTGGCTTCCATTTGCTTGTGCTTGTAGTAAGTAGGATCTTGGCTGTGGCTGAGTTGAGATGTGGAAGCAACACCTCGGCCTTTGGACTCATGGGCTTTGTCAGAATCCCACACTAATCAGTTGAGTACTACAGACAGCTTTTATTGACTGGGAAGGTCTGATCCCAGCTGAACACCTGATGGCTGTCACTTGGTTAACTGAGACCATTGCTTTTTTTGTCCAGGAGAGGGGAAGTCCAAGTATTTTCAGCTGGGGAGAGCCCTCAGGGGAGTTCTTTTAGAGATCAGTTTCCACTTTTATTTTAGGTAGTTCCATTCTTTTTAGAAACAGAATGAAGGTACAGCATAGTCTAATTTGTGAGGGATGGGGATTATGCATTGAGGTTTCAGGCTTGATATGCGCTCTTTGGGCCTTTGTACAAAGAATTCTGACTTTGGAAGGATCTTGTGAGTGAGTTGTGCAGTACTGTTCACTCACAGAAACTTGTACATAACCATTCCAATCTAGCCCAGCAGATGTGGGTTTGATAGTCCAAAACATTTGGAAATAGAGTTTTACAAGTATGGGGCTTAGTCTTAAGTCTTCTTGTTCTTTCTGTGTGGCCTTTATTGCCTGCCTGTTCTGATTCACAGTAAGATTATAAAATGTTGTTACGTAAATCACCATTGCAGCACGCTGGCAAAAACAAGTGAGCACACTGCAGAAGGTTTTCTGCACCGCTTCTTTTGGAAATCTGTGGAGAACAACTCTTTCTCCTTTTGATCAGTTTGCATCAGTCTGACACTACTAAGTCAAAAGTATTTCCAAAGTAGTACTTCTCCATGTCCAGGAAAAAACTGTATTCATTCCATTAATACTGCAGCTGAAGCTTTCTGAAATATCTATAAATGGTGTAATTCACTAAGAAGTGGAAAGCTGACCTAGGAGTCCCTGCTGATAGAAGGCTGAGGAGGGAGTAGCTGTTCTTCAGATAAGCAGCCCAGTAAAATGAAAATCGGCTGTTTTGTTTTCTGTGGGTTTTTTTTGTTTGTTTGTTTGTGTTCTTTGATTGGTTGGTAGGTTTTTTCCCTGCCCAGATTCATGAGTTACTCACTCATGGAAAGGTCTGGAGCGCCAGTATGCAGAGGGGCAGAGGTAATGCCCCAAAGAGGCATGAGGAGTAAGGGTGGGGGAGAACTTGCTGTTATTGGAAAAAGTGAGGGCTTACTCCTAAATCCAGTAGGGAAGCTTGCTTGCAACTGCATTCGGACATGTTATTTTCCTTTCATTATGAAATACTTTCAGAGCACTTGCCATGTTCTGTGTATGTTGTTAATTATCTTTTTCTGTAACTAGGATCCAGTATTGTTTTCTGGCTCTCTGCGTATGAATCTTGATCCTTTCGACCAACACTCTGATGAGGACATTTGGAGGTCTTTGGAATTGGCTCACCTGAAAAACTTTGTATCATCCCTTCCTGCTAAACTTAATCATGATTGTGCTGAAGGCGGCGAGAACCTCAGGTATGTCAAAGTACTATGCTTGTGAAATGCCCTTAAGAACTAAATGGTAACTGAGACACGTGTGTGTGTGCGCCCTTCATCTGCAACTAGGCTCTCCATTTCCAGAAACTACAGCTCACTTGGGACAGCATGTTGGTAACTAGCAGTAGGAATGCAGTGTGGGCTTCCCTGTGTAAGATTCGTGGAGGGAACAGTGGAATTCCTAATACATGACTAGGCAGTCAACTAACTAGGTTCTATTCACTGTATTTTAAACTCAAGTTTGGGAATTTAAAGGAATTTAACATGTATTCAGAATGCTGCAAGGTTTGACAGCTTGGGCAGGCTTGGAACGGATTTTAGTAGCCTGCTGTTTTAGAGTGAATGTTCTGAAGTTACGATGGCTTTTGTCCAACAGATACAAGTTTTCTAAGCTGTTATTTTGCTTTTTGTGCAGTAACAGGGATGTACGTTCAGTCAGGAGAAACCATATGAAGTCCAGTCCTCACTGTGCAACAATTCAGTGAATCAGCCTGATGCAGTTATGATAGAACCATTTGTAATGTATTCTTTTATTACATTGCCAGAACTTCATTTTGAGGGGGCCATAGTTTCAGATGCTCTTAGATATTCCACAGTGAAGCAGTAAGACAACCTTATCTATTATGCTGGATTCTTGGCACCTGTATTTAAGAATAAGGAATTGTTAGGTTTCAAAATGAGTACTGCAGACTTGTTCTGACTTTCTCCTATCCTCCCATTCTATGTGCGTAGTGTGGGACAGCGCCAGCTGGTGTGTCTGGCACGAGCTCTGCTCAGGAAGTCCAAAATCCTGGTTCTAGATGAAGCCACAGCAGCTGTTGATCTTGAAACAGATAAGCTTATACAGTCAACAATAAAGTCTCAATTTGAAGAATGTACTGTATTGACTATAGCACATCGTCTGAACACAATCATGGACTACACAAGGTAAAGTAATACCACTTTTATCTTGGAGAATGGTATGTGTGAACTGCACTGTGCTCTACTTAAATGAGCATCTTTGTGTTTGCTAAATGTTTGCCAGTGCATTTTTAGCCACCTCTCCAGAGAGCTCCTGGAATCCCTGTTTTGATGGGTGTGGTGTGCATGTTCTGGCTTGTGGTGGCTGTGCTTGGGCTAGGGAGCTCCTCTGAGCCCCTTGTTGCACTGCTGTTTTCCATTCCTGTCCAGGCAAACTAGGAAGGAGAGGGAAGCGACAGCAGGAGTCTATTCCTGGGTCTTGCCCTAATTTAGGCACAGCTGGAAGAGGCATCAGAACTTTTGGGAGCTCAGACAGCATAAGCCGTCAAAGGAACAGGCCCTGAGCTTCTCTGAAGTTCATTCCATGTTTCTGTTTCCATCACTGTTGGTTATAGTTCATATATCCTCCCTTATCCTCAGCTGCCTTGTTAAGGTGTGGTTGAGGGCAGAGTTGTTGTCTCATAATTTCAGTTTAAGTGCTCTTACCCTTCTTATCACAGCATGGCAGAGAGCAAAGTGGCCAGTGATAAAATTTTTAGTGTATTTTTATAGACCAATCTTTGTGCTGTCAATAGTGAAAGATAAGAGACAGGAACATTGCCTGTTCCAGGCACAGCACCAGCAGTACTGTCACCAGTGAACACCCAGTTCAGTGACAGTAACACCATACAGTAGCACCAGCTCAGGACTTAGCAAGTGTCCCTGCAGTGCCTGGCCAATTAGTGGAGGTAGCTGAAGGCAGTGTTTTAACTGAGAGCTGATTTACTGAGTGTGATAACTTGTTTTTTATGCTTCCCATTTCCAGTTGCATGTTCGTTTAGCACAACCTGTGTCTGTGTTTGTATCTTGTCAGCAGAAGCTGTGTAACAGCAGTTGATGTGGTGCAGCATTATGGGAAGGTTATCCCAGGCCTTGCAAGGTCTTGAGGACACTAACTCGCCTTGACAAGAAGTGCTGTGAGATAATTTCTGGCAGGCTCAGAGCACAGTCAAAAGTCTCATGGCTGCCTGAAAATGGCTGGGTAAACATTTGCTACATATAAAATAGAGCAGGCAGGATCAGCATTGAAGCCAGGAAGGATGCAGTGAAGAACCTCTGCCCACTCATACAGTCTGGAGTGTCTTTGCCTGCATAGAATGGCTGCTCTACAGTCAGTTTCTCCCTGTACACGTACACCTGTGTTCGCTGGCCTTGTTGATCTTCTTGTGACCATTTTTGTTTCTTCTTGTTTTGCAGAGTTTTAGTCCTGGACAGAGGAGAAGTGGTGGAGTGTGGTAGCCCAGAACATCTCCTTCAGCAAAAAGGCATTTTCTATAGCATGGCCAAAGATTCAGGATTGGTGTAGCATTTGGACTTGGTTAGTTCCTGTGAGGAAGAGGGAGGTGATACATTCAGAACACAGTAACTTCCCCTGAGCTGGTGTGAACCACACAGAGCAGTTTCAGACCTAGTGAAGTCAGCCACGGCATGGTGATGGAAGTCATAGGAAAATGCAATTTTTTTCTTTTCTGTTTTTGTTTCCTTCTCCTTAGTACTGAGTTTGAGCCGGCTTTAGGAGGTGCACGTGCACTGTGCAAAACACTTTAGAGACTTTTCATTTTTGCCTGAAATCTGTCAGTGTACGCTGAAATGTCAGGTGGAGTGATTCATCAGAGAAGTGCAGAAAGCTTTTTCTTTTCATCTGCTCTTACACTCTGAAGTTCCCCTCCCTTTTTAAGAACCCCAACCCAACAAACCACACCAGTTGTGGAAACGCTAGTGATTTGCTTGTTTGCTGATTCCTCATCTGAGGAGCCATCTCTTGTGGGATGCACTTGGAACATTTTGTGGCATAGAGTACAATAGTCCAAAGATTGTTTTTTGGTTTTTTTTTTCTTCTTGTGAAATAACGTGTGCCAGACTTTCTCATTATGGCATTTACTGTACATGGTTAATGCTTTTATGCATTGTCCTAAAGGTTTCATGTGTTTACAGTGTATAGCAGCAAGTTCACTATAAAATGTCAGTAGTGCTGATGTGAAAAAGCACAGTCAACTTCAGAGCAGTATTCAAGCACGTGTAGAATGACAATCACTCCAAAACCAAATTCATACAGCAGTTGCTGTGTTGCAGGATGCAATACCTGATCTTGCACACACTTTACTCAGGAATTCTGGCTTGGGTGGCGAATCCTGATAATGCCTGTGGGGACTAGGCTGAGAAGTGAGGATTTGCCTGAGCAGAGGTTGCGGGCTTGGAGTCACATTGATTGTAACACCCTTGGCTTTGGCAGCGCTGTGCTTTAATAGAAGCTCTGCCACATCAAGGACCATTAGCCTTATAGCGAAGAAACCTGCCCTTCATGCTGCTGCTGTTGACTCTTCAGTTTTGTGAGAAGCTGTTCTGTTACAGTTGTTTAAAAAACAAAAAAGCTTTCTGTTCTCAGTTGTGTGTCAGAGGGGTCTGACAGTTCAGTTGCAGAGTCTGGGTTTCAAGATCTGTATTGAATGTTTCCTTTTCTGTGGGAGGAAAAAGTTAATTTTCTTATGTTCTGATTAGTCTTATTTTAAGAGGAAAATGCTGGAAGAAGGCAAATTTAAGCCAGATGGACTCAAATACTCAGCACTCTGAGAACGTGGACTTCTGTGAATGATATTGCTGACCTTAATACTAGAAAATTGTCTTCTTTAAAGATATTTATTTTTTTGTAAATTAAGACTCTGAAATTGAGTAGACTGAAATTTTCTTTGGTATTTTTTGTAATGACAATACAAATATTTGCAAAGAAGGTGCAGTAAAAAATTGTTTGGAAGATAACACGATGTGTCATCTCTTGCTTTGTGTTTGACAAAGAGTTAGCTTCTCTAGTTCAGGTAGTTACTGGTACTGCTTAGACCAGCCAAGCTGCTAGGCCTGATGTCTGGGGGCTGTTAGGGTGGGTAAGAAACCTGGAGTGCAAGTGACAGTGTGCTGAGGTGGGGCTGGATCACATCTCAGGGATTGTCTTGTAATTTCAGTACTGCAGTTTGTTAGTCAGACCACCAGGTAATAACAGTGCATCAGTAGAGCAGAATTCAGTGGTGCTGCAGACCTTTTGTCATACCCATGGTGTCCATGGCCTGTGCCTTGGCACATTTCTGGGGCAGCTTCTTGTCAGTTTCCCCCATGAAAATGAAATGAGCAAGGGGGTGGTGGGGGAATTTGGGGCTGAGCAGTGGGTTTTGCACTTTCAAATTGCCCAACACTTATGCAGGATTGTGATGGACAGAAAGGTGGAAAGATTTGAGCAAACGATGAAGGGGTTACAGAGCAGAGAAATGAGCTTGTCAAATACGGTGTGTGGCTGGTGTTGTTTTACTCAGCTGCATTAAAATGGAGACAGATGTATCTGCAGAGGAGACCCAGATGAGGAACTGTGATACCACCATGAGACCTTTCTTGCTTGGAGTCAGTCATCCCCTAGGAACACTGAATCTTCGGCTTCCACCCCCTCCTAGGAGAGCTCTGGGAAGGAACAGGGAGAGGGTCCGCTGGCATTGGTCACCAAGACAACAAAGCTCCCTGTGCTCTCTCTTTGCCTGTCCAAACTAGTTACCACCACCACCACCACCACCACCACCTTCTAGGCAGGGCTGCGGAGAATGTCCAGTGAAGAAATTCAGACAGGATTCAAATACCTTTGGAAAGCCTTGTGGGTTTAGTTTAGCTCATTGCTGAGCTGGGGACTCTACAAGTACTCTGCAGGTTTGGCGTTGAATTCAAAGAAAGTTGTGTTGCTGGAGTTATTCTGTGGAAATCCATTCCAAATTCAAGGTAATTACGCTTTCCATTGCACGCAGATGAACAGAGATTTATAGGCATTAACATATGCATGTGAGTAAACCCTTGGAAAACAATGTAACTGCACTTAGAAGCATGGCTTGAAATAGCTTGCAGAATGATGCTTCTGCTGTGTAAAGTGTTTGCAGTGGAGTTGTCTGTATAGGAATGACTTAAACTGCATTTGCAGTCTCAAACTGGGTACACTAGAAAGTGTCACTGGATGTTTTCTGTCCTACCCGTGGGCTGTTTGCCATAATTTGGGGAACTGCAAATTTTTGTGTCCAAAATGCTGTATTTTGCAGGATAACCTAAATATTGCAGCAAGGGATCGTATGTCTGCTCTTGATGCGTGCCTCAGTCTTATTCTTGTTTAATGATGTGGTTGTTAATATGCATCACTGTGTTCTCCCAGTTTTACGTATTTACACATTTGCTAGCACGAGCTGTTCTGCCCCAGCTCTGGAGTAGGTACTCTTTTCTGTTTGCTCTAAATACCTGTCATTGCTTTGTATTATTGCTGCACTGATTTATGATTGTGGTTCCAAATGTCTGTCCTCATAAAAATGATTAATACCTTGGCTGGATGTAACATGAACAAAATTGTGTTAATGTGTGACCAGGATAGTCTGAACTAACCTTAATTTTACATTTGCTGAACAAATGCAGCTTTCTTCCACAGAACCTCTGTGTATGAGCAGTATCATATAAGTACTTCAGGTACCTTGAGTAGGAGTGGTACAGTTGTGAGGTCCTGTTTCAGGTAGGAAAGAGAGGACCATACACTGATCCCTGCATGCAGGGTTACTGGAACCAACTGCAGAAAATGATACAACTTGCTGCAAGGTAAAGTATTAGAATCTGGCATTAAAGCCAGCTTGGGACACTTTTACCCTTTCCGAGAATGTAAATGCAGCCTGATGGTATGTGACCTCCAGTACTGGAGAACCTGGTGCCCTCCAGCAGGGATCAGTGATATCTCAGCTCAGGGATGAGCCTTCCCTCATCAGGAGGTGGGGAGCACTAGTAAATTTGGGAGTGTGACACTGAATTCCAGCAGGTGGTCTCGGAGTCACGTAGCAGACACTTTCTTCAAATGCCTTGATGCTGGAAAGCTAATGCCAGCTCTGAAGGACAGCATGTGGGAGACGAGTGGGAACCATCCTGAGTGTGTGTATTGCAGCTGGAAGGTGAGCTGGGTACCTTCATCCACCTGCTGCAGAGCAGAGTTTCCCTGAAATGTATTGCCATGGCATAGTCTAAGTTCATCCTGTTCTGGTACTCCAGGTCCTCACCTGGTGGAGAGGTAATTGTCTACCCACCAGGAGGATCTTTGTAGCTGGTAGTCTTGTGCTCCTGGAGGTGGCTAGGTTCTCAGGTCCATGGTTTTTCTCCCCCCAGCCTGACTTTTCTCATAAAGATAGCACAATTAATTTCATTTAGATCAGCAGGAAAATAGGAAACCTTATTTAACTGCATTGGCTATCTATGTGTGTGTTATGAAAAATTTGCCAAATACCTGTCAGGACTGAAATTAAGTGGCCTCTTGCTCTTACCTGGAGCAAAGCTGTGCCTCTTTCCAGTTCATTCTGTACTCTTTGCTCTTTGGACTATTTCTTCCAGTCTTTGAGAAGATGCTTCTCTTTTAAGGCAAAGTTGTTGCCTTTCTCTTAGAACCGTTTTGTTCCGATCTCTTCATTAAAATATTAAGGATCTGTGAAACCATTTCGGATCCTGCTGTTTGGTATCTTCTCTTTCAGCAGTAATGTCTGCACCACTGCAGCCCACGTGAGGCTAGTGGTATTGTTAGTAATGAACAACATTAACATATTTATTATACACATGTTAATATTTATAAAAGAGCAAGAGAAAACTGTTGACTTTCCTGTATCAGATTCAGTGCATGTTAATGTATCCTGGCTGACATTATTTGCTGCAACATGGAAGATACCTCATGTCTGGAAAAGCTGATTCTGCTGTAAACCAGCTCAGGATTTTCAGGAGGCCTGTACGTAATACCATAGTTAGTCATGTGTGTGATTACAGCTGCTCCTATAAAACTGTCCCCAGTGTGGAGACATCTGTGAAGATATCCTGTAGTGGTTCAACCAGAGTAGCACAGAAACGCTTGTGCCCTGGGTCACTGATGCCTTTAACATTTGGGCATTCCTGTGCATCTTGTGACCATCTATGGAACCAGGAGTGCAAATTACAAACTACATTTGGCATGAACTTCATGTAAATCAATGCGTGACACTTTCATTCTTAGTTTCTAGCTTCAGCAATTTCAGTATTACATTAAACTTGGAATCTTGGGGCAAGTATTTTACGGTCATGTTTCTTTCCTACATAAGGCTGTGCTTTCGCTTTGCCTGAGATAGCCTTAAATGAGGAGGAAAAAGGAAAGGAAAAAATGAAGTAAATTGGAATTGAAAGCCCTAACTCTTGATGTCCAGATTGGACAGACAACTGGAACAGTGCTAGTACTAATTAAGCCCTTGACCTCATGGCTCTGAAGAGAAAAACAGAGTGGGGAAGCCACTGAGATGTTAATAAACCCTCTTTACATTAGTGGGTTTTATTTGGGCTGAGCTAAACACAGCTGCTCTGTGTATGTTGCACTTGTGCTGCATAATAGCTATTAAAAATGAATGCTACAAATGTGTAGATGGGGCAAGTCCAGGTTCTCCTCTTGAGCTCCTCTTGATATTCAGATGGCTGGAGATGTTGGGCAGGCTTTAATTTCTTAATATTAAAATTTATTCAGTGCAACTTATGAAACAGGTTCTTGGCATAGTTCTGAGCCTGCTGTAGTTACCTCCTGTGCTAGTTGCAAATTTCAATCAAATAGTCTAATCTAAGAAGTACATTTGGAAAGACCAAACAGGCCTGTCCTTTTAAACAGTGCTTTCTGTTCCTTGAACTAGATTTTCAAGAGAGGATGGTATCTCCAAGCATTAACTCCTTTATATATTTTGCTTTAACCAGTCCCAGATAACTTCCTTCTGACGACTATTACTTTTCTTGTGAGACTGAACTCCCAGTTTGCCACTTACTTACAGTATCACTTGGACATAAAGTTGAGGACTCTGGCTAATCTGAAACATGGGGTTTTTTTGTCACATGTAATTTTGGGAATCATAGAATAGTTAGGGTTGGAAAGGACCCTAAGATCATCTAGTTCCCTTTTGCCTTTTCAACACAGCTTGACGTGTGAAAGCTGATGGTATTTTTGCTGCTCTTACTTTGTGAAAGCCAACAGCAAAACTGTGCCCTTTCTAAGATTACCAGTGTGAAAGAATGTTTTGATTATTTTCCCCTTCTGTTGCCTTCTCTCTTCATTACCAACTTAGGAACGGAAAACAAGCATTCGGAAGATGTTTATATCAGAGATTATGGTATGCTAAAAGATGTCTGTCTCAGAATTACCCAGCAACATGGTCATGTCTGTTTCTCCTTGACCTCAGTTAAAAAGAAAAAATACCTAACTTATCTTTATCTCACTACTTCTAGATGCTCCTGGTTTTGAGACAACCTTTTTGAGTGCTCATAACTTGCATTTGTTGTTTGAATTTTTCTTCTGTCTCTGCCCTTGAGTAAGGTTTGGAGAAAGTAGAGGGGGAAAAAAATGCCTCTTTCCTGGTGTTTGAGCAGCAGGCATTGGACTTGGATATCTTAGGCATTTGTTCAGCAGAAACTGATAACTGCTATTAACGTGGGTGAACAGCCTACAAAACAGCTCTTGGGTAAGAAACTGCTAGGTTTTGTTGGTCTGGGCTGACTCTTGCCAGTTTGAACTTTCCCATGCCCTCCCCCATTACTCCTTTTTATACTCTATTTACTTTAGCTTACTGAAGAGACCCATTTCAATACTTGATTCTGGTTTTATTTCAGCTTTCTAGAAAATTAAGTGCTTTAACAAAAGTCACAGTAAACAGCAGTATTTCAGTGTGATTGTCACGTCATCTTGTGATTCCTGAGGAGAGACTTGGGGACAG